TAACTCTTTCCAATTAAGTGGATTTTTTTTCCTTAAAAAAGAATTGTTGGGCTTAGCATGATAGCCTAGTACCTGAATCCTTGCCTTGCTTCTGCCTGGATCCAAAACAGTACTGGTTTGTATCCCGGCTGCTTCACTTTCTTTTCTTTTTTTTTTTTTTCAATTGTTATTGCAAAGTCAGATATACAGAGAGGAAGAGACACAGAGAGGAAGATTTTCTGTCCAATGATTCACTCCCCAAGTGACTGCATTGGGCCAGTGCTGCACCGGTCCAAAGCCAGACGCCAGGAACTTCCTCCTGGTCTCCCACGTGGGTGCAGGGTTCCAAGGCTTTGGGCCATCCTTGACTGATTTCCCAGACCACAAGCAGGGAGCTGGATGGGAAATGGAGCAGCTGGGATTAGAACTGGCTCCCATATGGGATCCCGGTGCATTCAAAGTGAGGACCTTATCTGCTAGGTCACTGTGCTGGGCCCTGGCTGCTTCACTTCCTATCCAGTTCTCACCTTGTTGCCTAGGAAAGCAGTAGAATCTAGCCCAAGGCCTTGGGACCCTGCACCTGTGGGGAAGACCCCGGTTGCTGCGATTCGGGGTTTAACAGCAGACAAACCTTTCTCTGCATCTCCTTCTCTGTGTATACCTGCCTTTCCAATAATAATAATTTTAAAAAGCTTAAAAAAATCATTTACGATTTCTGTGTTTACAGGTCCATAGCTTCTTTTTTCAGCCTCTTGCTTTACCAGTGCATTTTTTATTCACTTTTAATACATTCTTATTTTCTTTTTTAAAATTTTTTTTAGATTTATTTTTATTATTTTTTTATTGGAAAGGCGGATATACAGAGGAGAGACAGAGAGGAAGATCTTCCGTCCAATGATTCACTCCCCAAGTGAGCACAACAGGTGATGTTATGCTGATCCGAAGTCAGGAGCCTCTTCCGGGTCTCCCACGTAGGTGTAGGGTCCCAAAGCTTTGGTTTGTCCTCGACTGCTTTCCCGGGCCACAGGCAGGGAGCTGGAAGGGAAGCAAGGCTGCTGGGACTAGAACCGGCGCCCATGTGGGATCCCGGGCGTGCTAGGCGAGGACCTTAACCACTTGCGCCACCGCCGGGCCCCATTCTTATTTTCAATTCACTTTTATTGTTGACTCATTACATAATTATCCTCTATTTGTCTCGTGATATCACATCTCTTTGTGTAATTTCCAGTTATTTATTTTTTTTTGAGCATCTCCTTTTTTTTTTTTAATTTTATTTTTTTGGGGGGTAAAAAGGCTCAAGGGCTACAGGAAAGTGGGTAAGACTAGTATTTTTTCCATATTGTTTCCTTCATGTTTAAAAGGGGGTATTAAGGGAGAAGGCCCACCCAATTTCCCACCCTCCTCAGGTCCCGGATGTAGGGCATGCTCTGAGGTTCTTGCTCAAGTGGTTTTAACATTTCAACGGTTATGAATTGCTGCCAATCTTGCCACACCAAGCACTATGAGGTCCTTGAAGAATCTACTGATTGACATAGTCCATCATAGCTGAGATGGTTGGTTGACCTGTTCTGTCTTCTCTCTTTTCTTGGTTAGGGTTCTGAATCCAGCATTTTGATTGGGGAGATCTCCAAAGAAACTGTGTCTGAGGTGTGTTCAAACCAGATTCTTATATGTGCTAGCAAGTACAGGGCCTGGCACAGTCCATCGCCCCTATCAGCTGGTGGTTGCAATTGCTGGGTTGGTTCTGTTTTCACTCCCGACTTCCACTGGAACCAATGAGTATTGCAGTCCAGTCTGGTTCTGCCCAGCACATACTTGGCCCTCGCATAAACCAATGGGAGCTACAGCCTAGTTGGAGTGACCTGCAATAACCCCCACCAGGCCCGCCCCCTACCTGGTTTGCCAGTATGTGTAGCAGTAGTCCAGTCTGTTCCACACCCCATTCCACCCCAGCCTCTGTCCTGGTTTTCGTGCCCTCCCGTGGAAGTGGTAACCCAGGAGGGAAGAGCCCACTATTTCCCTCCCAGGCCACTCCCACTCCCAGATTATGCACTCTCCAGGTAGTTCTGTGGTTTGACTTGACAGAACTAGCCCCCAGTGTCAGCTTCTGCCAGCTGATCCTGTGGCTAAGCCCAAACAACCCTCACCCACTCTAATTTTGTTTGCACCAGTAGGAATAATCAGCCCAGCCTGGCTATTCCCTGATCTGGTCCACATGAGGCGCACAGGTGTTGTACCCCTGCCTACTCTGGTCTGCCCCCATCCCAGCTTTCCTGTAGGAGAAGCTGTCCAGCAAAGGAACCTTCCCTTATTCCCCTGCAGGCTCTGCCCCTTCCCTTCCTGGTTCTCACTCTTGCTGGTTGGACACTGCAGCCCTTTCTGGTACAGGCAACCTCACCTTGGCATTCCGTATTGTGCACTAGTCTTTGTTGCGACAGAACCTAGCTCGACTCACACTGTTCTGGTGCTTGGATTTGCCAGTGGATGACGTGAACTGATTGAGCCTGGTCTTTCCCCAACCCCTGCCAACTGTATGCCAGTGGGTAACTTTCCATGGCCTGTTCAGGGCTGTTTCCTATCATGTTTCTTGCGCTTACCTGCCGGGTCTGTGTCCTGCCAGAGGAGTTGCCCAGGCTCCTCCATCAGAACCTCTCCCAATGCCAGGTTACACGCATACCAGTGGGTCCATGAGCCAGCCCTACTCAGTCCACTTCCTGTCATAGCAGGAACAGTGGCTTTTCCTGACTGGTCTTCAACCCAAACTGGTTCTTGTTGTTGATGTTTCAGCCCAGTCATGGTTTATCCATACCCACATGTGGCTCATATATAGCTCAGTAGGGGGTTTGAGACCTTGCCTACTCCATCGCACATATATCCCGGTCCTCCAGGACACCAGAAGATGTTGGAGTCTGGCCGGGTTGGGTGCATCCAATCCTAATCCACACTTGTGCCAAGGGAGACTACAACCATTTCCTGATCAGAACGCAGCCCCCATTCCAGCCCATATGCCCCCTGGTGGGAACCTCAACCCAGCTATGGTTGTCCCCTTAGCTCCCCAACCGGGCCTGTTCCCAGCCATAGATCACATGCATGCCAGTGGTTGCTCTGACTTAGCTTGGCACAGCCCCACACCTGTCCTGGCCTCTGTCTTAGACATTGTGGCTTAGTGTTCCTGGCTCCCGCAGACCAGTAGGTACAAGAGCCTAGCTCAGCATGACCTGTGTTCCATCCTGGTCTCTAGTTTTGCTTGTGGGCTAAGGTTTGCTCAGTCCTGCCTGTTCTACCCTGTTCCATTACCAATTGACACATTTGCCAGCTGTTGGAGCTACTTTTCTTAGCTTGTCCAACCCCCAGGTCTGGACCAGACCTGTGGGAGCTATGACTTGCCAGGGGAGTTTCCCAAGTTCCTCCACTTAATCCACTCCCAGACCCAGTTCTCATACATGCCATTGGGTTTAGCCAGTGCCCGGTGCAGTCTGGCCTTCCATTTGGCCTTGTGTGAGCTGGTGAATGTTGCAGCCCGGCCCACCCCACACCCTATTCAGGATGCACATTTAGGTGCTGCTGCCCTGACCAGTCCAGACAATTGGGGGTTCCTTTACCTGTGATTGATGACAGGCTCCTTGGTCACACCTAGCTTAGTCCATCACCACCCCAACTCTTGAGCTAACCACTGGGGCTAGAATTTTCGCAGGATGTGGCCCACACATTCCTCACTGAATTTACCCCCGGTATGGTTCTTGAGTGCTAGTCAATGTAATGGCTTGCTTAATGTGACCATTCTCCATCATCATGTCAGGTAACAAGATATAATTCTGCAGGACAAGCCCCAAGCCATAGCTTTTGCATGGACTGGTATTTGGTGGTCAGCATTGTTCAGTGATTACAAGTTTTACAAAGGAAAAGTTACTGCCAATTGGAATCTTTACAAATGCTTCACGTCCTAGAAGCACAATGGGTTCAACCTGGAGCTAACTAAGCAACTCAAAGAACCAAAACCCCAGAGCTCCCTGACTGGGAGGCCAGTAGGCAGAGCTGAGCACCAAATGGCACACTGGCCGCCTGGAGACAGCTCACCACTTGCACATGGTGGCTGTTGTCTGGGATCCAGGCATGAGACGCCCCGTCCTGAGACCCACCAACAGCCGGGAGGCTGCTGGAAGTTTAAATTCCCAGGCCCAAGGTCGTGCCCCCTCCCCAAACCCATTCACTGCCCATGAAGGCAGCGGGTGGGTCCTGGACCTGCCCAGTCATGGAGACCTCCCCCCTCGGTGTACTCACCCCAAAGGGAGCAGCCCCAGGAGCCCAGCAGGCCCGGAGACAGCTCACCACGTGCACATGGTGGCTGTTGTCTGGGATCCAGGCATGAGACGCCCTGTCCTGAGACACCCATCAGCTTGTTTTGAGTGGAAGTTATTTTCTGTGGAAGCCAACTGTGCCATAGATTGTGGATCATCTTTGTAAGTGATTTCAGATTTCCCTTTACGAAGAGAATTTGGATAGTAAGCTTCCATGTGCATCCCATGGGCCATCAGATACAAATGGCTTAGGGCTTGTTTCCCAGATAAGGCTGCCTTTTATGGTTCTGAACTTTCTGCCCATGGCTGGCTTCTAGGTGCTCATTACAGTGAGGCCAGTGCCATAGATTTACCTTCTCACTCATACATTAAATCCCCTGCTGTCCAGTCATTATCTTTATCTGATCTCAATTTCCCTTTGAGACCCTTGATTACAAATCTCACTTGTATGTTTAACTGTGAGTTTCTTCTCTTATGTCTGGCATCTGGAGATTTGACAGTATTTATTTATTTATTTTTTTTTTGTGAGCTATGCAATCTTCGTCTAATTCTTTGCTTCATTATATACTCAGTCCCTTGATAGTTTCTGTATCTACTTAGGTCACCAAATTGGCTATACATGCTTAGAAGACTTCTCTAACAAGGGTACAATACAAAAAGCTTTAAATGATGTTTAAATAAGTGTTTGCAGTAACCTTTTTTTTTTCTGTCTATGCTTCTCAGCGCTGACTTTGAAGAACCACATAATTATGAGGGGACAATTTCATATCTGAGACGCTCTGGCAACTCCATTAACCTGTGCACTGCAGAAGAAATTGCTGATGGTAAGTCTGCTAAGCCAATTAATAGTGTAACCCTGTGTGGAATGAAAATGTGTCAAAAGTGGTATTTTCCCTCTGGCTAGCTGTAAGTTTAAAAATTCAGAGCCCCGCTGCTGTACCATCTCATTTCTTTTTTCCTTCTCTAATCTCTTTAAAATAGGAATAGTTCCAATCTGGTGTCAATGCTATTTCATGAGTTCTATTACTACCTTCTCTCTAACGTGTCTCTCTCCTTCACCAGTTGACTTAGTAGCTTTGCCAGTTGTAGATAAGTGGCAGCAATAATCAGGACATGATGATTCATTTTTCCTCTTTCTCTCTGCATAGCAACTTCATCTCTTGTCTTGTGAGGTCTTTCATAAAGTCCCCAGGTTCTATGGTTATATGTAGAAGGTGATAACAGACCAGAAGAAATAGGCTCCTATGTGAGGTCTGAATAGAATAAAAGAATTTATTTAGTGGCTACTATCACTAGTGTGCAGCTAAGTCTTCCTCTTTCCTGCCTCTAGTATTGCTGACAATGCACAGACCTCTCTTTGGGAGTGAGGGGTGAGATCCTCTCAAATAAAAAGATGAAGAAGCAGGAACTAATGAAACTTATTTTCCAAGATCATAGAGTCCTTGTTCTGCCTCTAAAATCATCCAGCTCCATATAAAAGGCATAAATACTAGTGTTGAAGTGAGCATTAGGATGAATTGAGCCTGTGCTACAGGCTGTAAGTCTGCATTAGATCCTCTGTGTATATCTGTGGTGATAGAGTGGATTCATTATCTCACTGTTAACTACAGAAAACTGAAGATCGGAGACTGAGCTGTGTGCAAGTAACTCTGGGTGGAGCTGTATAACATGGCATGGGTTCAGTTAGCCTCAAAAATCTATGCTCTTCCCACAGTTTTATACTGCTGCCCATTTAAAGGAGTTTGAATTTCCTGGAAGAAGGTTTAAAAACAGGTCTTTTGGTCAACATTCTTTACTGTAAAGACAAAAGGCTCAAGGTTCTGGGAAGGAACATCATTGTATGGGAATACACATTTAGAAAGTTCATGAGATAACCACCAGAACCTATTGAAATTTCCCTCCTCTCTTCCTGGAAATCGGAGTTGGGCAACTATAAGAAATTCTACCTGTCCTTAGATTGGGCAAAGTCCATTTGGCTTATCAAATATCACCTGTTAGAAAAACAGCTCCTACCCCCATGTGTCCAGAAAGTGATGCTTCCCTGTGATCAGGGTCTTTGAACCCCTGTAGAGCAAGGCTTTTCAGAACTCACAGTACACACTCATCACCTGAGAATCCCTTGCAAGTGTAGATTCTGAGCAGGTGCAGCAGTTAAGACTCCATTTAGATGGCTGCATCCCACATTGGAGTGTGTGAGCTCAAATCTTGGCTCTGTTTCTGATTCTGGCTTCCTGTTAGTATCCATCCTATGAGGCATCAGGTGCACCCGAAGTACGTGCAATCCTGACACCAATGTGGGAGGCCAGGGTTGAGATCTGAGGTCCTGGCTTCTGCCCAGCCCAGACTAAGCTATTGTATCCCTTTGGGAAATGAACCAGCAAATGAATGATTGATCTTTGCTCTGTATGTAATGATGACTTTCAAATAAATGAATAATGATCTTTAAAATTAGAAATAAAATATTTCATAAGACCTTTTAAAAAATGTTGGTGCTGGTTCAGTAACTTCATGTGAGGTCTGAGATTCTGTGTTTCCAACATATTATGCTGATGCTGTGATCTGCAGACCACTGTTTGAAGAGAAAGGCTGCGGGTCTCATTTCAACCAAATTCTAGCTGCCTAGCTGTGGAAGGTTAGGGGATCACAGGGTCAAGCTCCAGTCAGAGCCTTGACCTTTTCTCTTTGGACCACATGAGTCCCCCAGGATCCAAACCCTTGTATTTAGCACCTTAAGATCCTTTTTAGGTCTCTTCTTTTCCTCCTAGAACAATGGGAGCTTAGGGAGAGCTATATGCAGGCTGTAGTGTGTTTCAGATTTGAACATTTACAAGGTCCCTCCCAGCACAGAGTAAGATTGAGAGTTTAAAATAGAAAGTGGGACCATGGGTCTGCATTTGTCCTTTCTGGGCCACAACATTGAGTTTAAGTTTTGACTGTTTCGATATGCATTCAAAAGCCAAAAAGACAAACTGGCATCCTGGGAGCAGGCATAATGATGTAATGGGTTAAAGTGCCACTAGCATTCTGGATCTCACATCAGAGAACCTGGTTCAAGTTCCAGGTATTCTACTTCTGTTACAACTTCCTGATACTGTGCACCCTGAAAGGCAGCCTATTTAGGCTCCTTGCTACAATTTGGCCCAGTCCTTAGCCTGTGGGTGAAGATCCCACTCACTAGCTGTTTCTCTCCTCCTGTCAAGTACATAGAAATAAACTTTTAAACAAAAGTCAAGTATAACTATGCTTCTGGAAAGATGGAAAGATATACACTTTTTTCTTTTCTCCTGATATGTACAAATAAAATCTCTGTAAGATGATAAATAGATGCTAAAGCAAATACTTGACTAACCAAGGACATCAGGGCTCAAACAAGAATAAGACAGTCAGCTCTCTGGTGTTCTTCATTGCATATCTGGGGAAAGGTAAGGTGAAAGAAAGCCAGAGATCGCCAACCAGATTCAATCCAAGCAAAAGAACAACAAGATTATCAAAATGTCAAAAATCAAGTTGTCAAAATTAAATTCTCAAAAACAGAATTTTGAAAACAGCAAAAGAAAAATGTAAATCACTTGTAAGGGAGGTTCATTAAGGTAAACAGTGGATTTCTCAACAGAAACATCTCAGACTAGGAGAACGGGGAATGAAATGAAAATTACCAAGGGAAAAGGTACCGATCAAGAGGACTTTCCTGAAGGAAGCTGTGTGTCTCCAATGAGGAGGCTCATCATCACATGCCTGCCTTATAAGACATTCTGAAAGAAGTTTTTCACGATGAAAGACTAGGATATCAGTAATATGAAAGTATAGAACTCTTTAGTTAAATCTTAGTAGTAAAAGTAAATACACTGTCAGATTTAGAATATCCAATTATTATAATGATGTTTTCTAAATTATTTGCATCTTTCACATTAAGGTTAAAGGGTAAAACTATTTAATAAATATGGTTGCATTATCCAATATAGTGCTTGCTTCAGCAGCATGTATACTAAAACTGGAACAAGATTAGCATGACCCTTGCACAAGGATGACATACAGCATTCAATATAAAATATATAACTTTTGAAATTTAAAAAAATTGAATTATGTGGGGAAAAAGCTTGGGTTGTGTATATGTGCGAGTGTATGTGCACTTAACCATAACCTAAAACCACAGGCAAATTCCATAAAAGAAATTAAAACTAGAACTGCTATATGATCCAATAATTTCACTACTATGTGTATGTAAAGAATATGAAATCAGTGTGCTCAAGAGTTGTCTATTTCCCCAAGTCTGATACAAACATTATTTTCGATGGCCAATAAATAAGTCAACCTAAGAGTCCATCAGTGAATGAATGAATAAAGTAAATGATACATAGTCACAAATACTATTTATCTTCAGAAAGAAGACAGTCTTGTCATTTGTGAAAGTAACTGTTGAGAATATTAAGTAAATCAAGCCAAGCACAGAAAAATAAATTCTATCTTATTCTCATTTATATTAGAATCTAAAAAGCCAAAATCATGGAAGCAAAGAGTAAAATAGTCATTGCCAGAAATAGTTGCTGGGGGCATGGGGGAAGATGTTGGTCAGGAGACACACAATTTCAGTTAGCAGAGATAAGTTCAAAAGACTCACTGCAGTGTGATCACTATAACAGCAATGCACTGTGTACTTCAAATTAACAAAGAAGTAGATACTTTGCCAGAAAGCATGAACTACATCATATACTGAAATGAGTTTGAAAAGCTCTATGACTCAGGAAAACTTAACTATCTGGTTAAAAAAATTTTACCCCCTCCCAATAATTTTCAGTCCAGGTTATTTCCTTGAAAAATTTCATAAAACACAAAAAGAATTAGCAATTATATCATCTCTTCCAGAACAATGAAAGACATGTGAACATTTTTTAATTTATTTTATGAATCTTACATTTTGCTGATATTGAAATCCAAGTCAGTACAAAAGAAAAAATCAGATCAATATCCTTTCTAATCATAAAAATCCTTGACAAAATAGTGGCAAATAGATTTCAGCAAGATAAAAAAAGATTTGATGTCATGACAATTATGGCTAATTTCAGAACTGGAAATCTGGTTCAATGTTCAAAAATCAGTGAAAATCACAATATTGACGGGCTAAAGAGACACAATTGTACAATCAACCCATGCAGAAAAAGCATTTGAGAAAATTCAACCCCAACAATAAGAACTCCTGAAAGAACTACCTCAACTTGATAACCCTTTCACACCACTTGCAATAAAACACGATAGTGATGGGGAAACACTGAATGCTTTCCTCCCTCCGCCCCATCATTAGCACTTTCATTGAACATTATGTTAGATATTCTAGTCAGTAAAAAAGGCAAGCAAAAGTTCAACAACTGGAAAAAAAACCCCTATTCGCAGTAACATAATTGTCTAGGTAGACATTTCCAGGAATTTACCAAAATAATACTAATACACAGGAAGAAAAATTAAAAACACCTCTGCCAAAGCCAATAAATGGATCCTGCAACATTGTAGAATACAAAATACATACGCAAAACAAAGAAAGATGACTACTTTGTGTACTATCAATTAGCACATCGACAGTAAACACACACACACAGTAACTTTTACAGTAGACTTAGACGAGTGCAATGGGGCATTTGTGTAAGTGTTCATGCTGAAAATGATTACATAAAGAAAATGTAAATGAGTGGATATACTATGTTTGTTTTCCAAAAGAATTAACACAGAAAAAATGTCAGTTCTCTCCCAGTGGCATATAGACTTAATTCCTGTAAAAATCCCGGCAAAGCCTTTTATAGATCACTATAAGTACAGACATAATTATCACAAAATGTATATGGAAACACCAAGGAAATATGATTAGCTAAAAACATGATTAGCTAAATTTGAAATATTAAAGGTGTATTTATTCAGTTATCAGACTCACATCATCGTGGTCAAGACTGTGAGGTGCTGTCAGAGACAGAATAGTGAAACCTAACAAAGCTCAGAGTGGAGTTGTACAAAATACAGCCAACTGATTTTTTTTAATGTTGTAGAGATGCAAGAGCAATTCATCAGGGGATAGATGGCCTTTTCATAAAACGCGGTCGGAGCAGTTGGATGTCCATAGGTAAAAATTATAATAATAAATCATCTGTCTCACACCTTGAACAAATGCTAATTCAGTGTAGCTCTTTCTTGCTTACTTTACCCCCCAAGAGTGAGGAATCTAAATGGCACCTTTGTAAGGGTGGCAAGTAGGGAGGTTATCTTCTGATGTCGCCAGTACTTTTTTTCGTCCTTTGGTTTGATTCAGAGCAGCAATGAATGCCAAGGAAGCAGGGAAGACCATCCCCTGGGAGCCTTTGTGAGGTTTGTAGTACAGAAGGTAATGCTTGGTAGGCATATTCAGATGTGCTCAGAGCTCTGCCAACTTCTGTTCAGAAGCACCCGTGCTTTCAGACTTTTATAAACCCTGAGATTTTGTGAAAGTTTCTAAAAAAATTCTTAGAACCCCACTGTTTTTTTTTTTGTTTTACCCCATGTGACATTCAGACACAAGAATTGTGTAGTATTATTAAAACAGGAAATTAAAGTGTTTTAATTCATTTTCATTGACTATAAGTTTCCATTCGAGAAATCCCCACAGGAATTAAAACCGTGATGAGTAACGCCAAAACTTCCTAATTCCATGAGCCCTGGGTGGGCTGATGTTGCCAAAGCTAAGAAAACTGAACTCATGATGTTTCATAATTCCAGGTACTGTAAGAAATGGATAGATAAGCTGCCTTAAAATAATTGTTTTATGTGTTTATTTGTTTTTTAGAAACATACGAAGTTACACTTGAAGAATTCCAACAGGTATTGTTTCCCATCTCTACACCAACTGGTAAACCTCAGTCACTCAAGTGTACAAGATCATTCTGGTGTGTAGGTTCTTTCAGGAGAGAATAAAGTTTTTTTTTTTTCCTTTTTGCTTTTTTTCTATTTCTGAGGCTTTTCCAGACTCCAGCTCCTAGGATACCAAAGCACAGCTCTGATTAATGGAAGATAATGCGTGATATGATGGGAGGAGATGACTATTCTATTTCCAACCTCTACTTGGGGCAGCCAGTGCCAATGGGCTTTTAATAACTGACCCTTTCCTAAATAAGGGATATTTGGCAGAAGACAAATTTGTATATGCTGTTTGTTGAAAGAAACAACCCTATCCTCCAAGGCATGCTTTCTGAGCTTCTTTAATACAAGATGCAACTTTGAAAGCAATGAAGTAGTGACTAGATTAGGACCCATACTAAATCACTTCCGGCCTAATCACAGCCATAGAATATGTAATCTTGAATCTGTTTCCTCACCTAAAAAAATAGGAATAATGCAACATCCACATCTTCTGAGAATGAAGATAAACACTGATGGACAGATTGTTAGTAAGAGCTGGAAACAGCCACTGCCCTCCTTGAGCCTTACCTGTGTTTTACTTAAAATGTAGTGTTCTACAAGAAAACAGGAAGTCTATTTCTGCAGTTACTGTGGATGTGAGAATAGAAGCACATTACACTAGAGAACCAATTCTTGTGGTGTTGAACCAAGTACAGCACATACCATACTGTGGGGTCTCAAATGTTATTTCTTTTTTCAGTGTCAGTTAAGGTGCTACTCTTTTCTTACCAGGTACATTTAGTCTAGAACGTTCTTCTCTCTACTTGGATTTTCTTACACATGTTACTATGAAGTATTAATTTGTGCACACACTTTGGAACTAAAAAAAATCCAACCAATATTTCTATTAATAGGTATAGAAAGGGTCAAAGAGGCTTCCCTTCTCTGGTGACGTCAACAAATAACAAAGTACTTTATAACTGGTGTGCAGGCCTCCACCGTTAGTTTTAGAAAACTGGCCTGGCTGTTTCAGACCAGTGTTCATTAGCATCGCTGATCTGGAATGGCAGACCAAGGTCTAGGCTGTGACAGCAGAGATCAGGCCTTGTACCTGCAAGTCATGATTCAGCTTACTTTCAGTTTGTAAAGCTGCACACCCAGACCAACACGCAGTCTCCAGGTACAAACCAAGGGAGCATGTTCTGCTTTAGAAAATTAGCTCTGATACAGAAGGAATCAATGAGGCACAAAGTGACAAGAAAATTTGGAGTTGCTGCCACTGGAAATGCTATTCTAGGTTAAATGTGTTCTGAGGGCATACATTTTTTGCTGTTGGCGTTCCTGCTTTAGGAAGCCATGATTGGACATTTTCCTAATGACTTGCTGCTGGAAGTTGATAGGGAACAATCTGTTAAGTTTCTGATCTGTTATTTTTTTCAAGATTTATTTATTTATTTATTTTACTATTATTATTATTATTATTATTACTTTATGGTACAGTTCCATAGGCCCTGGGATTTCCCTTACCCTTTCCCAAGTCCCTCCCCACACTGAGTTCCCATATATTATGACTATAATATAGTTCTTCATAAACAGTCATATGTCCATCATTGTGGGCATGGGCAATGGCAGAGTCCAGGATCCTACTGTCAAGATGTATTTAACAGTTTCATTGGGAGTCCATCTTTGTCTGGAAGTAGTGATGCATACTGTATTGTATCCTCACATTTGGATGTGATAGTCTCCATTATGCAGTTACTATACATCTCCTTAAAGAGGATTTTATATTCATTTTTGTTGTATGAACATTCCCTAAGTTGGACTTTAAGGAAATGTGGCAAAGAGACTAAGGCAGCCTGAGTCTCCTCCCTAGGCATGCCCCTCCTGCCCTGGCTCCATGCCACTTCTCAGATTTGGGCGGTTTCACTCCTTTCAGAAAGGCTGCTGTCCATCTCTGTCCCCATCCCCTGCTATCTTTGCAACAGTCATATCAGATGACCTCATCATGGCCTCAGCTACAGGGGCAGATGCTCTTCTGCCTTAGAGGTGCCTGGTCCCTGACGGAGAGCATGTCCGGTCACAATGTCAAGTGACATTTTAGAGCTTTAAGGTTGGAGGGCAATAAAGTGAGCAATTTTAATTTTTCACAAGACACATAAATTCCCCAAATGCACGGCAATGATAAAATAGAGTGAGAACAGACAGATATTGTTGTTTAAGATTGGACCTAGAAGCAGGTTTTGGTCCCTAGTAGGTAGGATTCTGAGGTTGCTGAGAGCACAAGAAGGTGGTCTAAGCGATCAGGTCCTTCCTTTCCCAGCCGCTCTGTCATCCAACATCCTGCTAAAGACTTCTCTGCCCTGAGTTCTCATCTATCTCCACAGGGCTCTGGGCTTTTTTCCAACCCCTGTTGCATCACCAGTCTCAGCTAGTATGCTCTACCTTGAAGTCACCTTCAGACTCAGTACTATTCTGACAATTTAGCCTGAATGGGTCTGCTGAGAGAATTTCAGTGGCTCTGGTCCCTGGACAGCTTCCATTCACGGCCAGCAGAATATGTACTAATGCCTGTGCCCTAGAGTGTGTGGGAAGCTGGAGGAACCTGGGAGCAGGAAGGCAAGCACCCCTTGCCCCTTTGCATGCAGGTCCCACTACCACTTACTGTGGGAGTCCATACTCAGGTTAGGCTCTCTCCTGGCCCCTTCCACACCCTTCTCTGTCTTTTCCAGAACCTCAACAGCTTGCTTCTTGTGGCCAGCTAACTCCACATGGACGCACCAGGCATGCAAATTAGAAATTGAGTCATGTTCTTTCATCACAGAGTGGACATCTCCATAGAGTTGCATTGGTTAAAAAGGACAGGGAAGGAGAGGGGATGAAACCATCACTACTTCCTAGCAATAAAGCTTGTACATGAAATTTGTTTTTACCCTAAAATTTAGGCAAGTAACAGTACCTGCTATGGAGGTGCTCTCTGCTTTTCTTTTCTTTCATTTTTCAATTGCAATGAATTCATTTCTGTCTGCTTTATGCAGTGTTTGACAAAAATGAACCCTCCACATGGCTGAAATTTATTCCATTCAAATAAAATAACAGGAAAGTATTTTCAAATTTTTTTACATTTTATTATTATTATTATCATCATCATTTTATGATACACTTCCATATGCTCCTGATATTTTCCTTATCCCAGCCCCAATCCCCCTCACCTGGTTCCTCCATTATAATTACTAAAGTATAGTTCTTCATACTCACTCATATGTCCATCATTGCGGGCATGGACAATGGCACAGAGTCCAGCATCCTATTGTCAGGATATAGTAAACATTTTCATTGTAAGTCCATCTTTGGAAGTAGAAATGCATACTACATTGTATACTCACATGTGGATATGTTAGTCTCCATTTTACAGCTACTGTATGTCCCCTCAAATGAAAAGTCATAATACAAAATCAGCAATAGAAAGAAAAATAGAAATTTACAATGCCATGAAGTTGAATAACATGTTGCTAGATATGACAGTCTCCATTACACAGCCCCTTAAATGAAAAGCCACAAAACACAATCAACATCAGGAAGAAAAAAGAAATTAGCAACAACATGAAGTTAAATGACATGCTACTACATGACTAACATGTAGCTAAAGAAATGAAAATCAAGAACGTTCTTGCAGAAAAAGATGCCACTGCATGATCTATGAGTCACTGAATGATTTAATCAGAAGAAAGTGTTTTGAAGAGGTGAAACTAACAGAAGACATCAAAACCCATGCAATATAGTTTCCGCTGATTTTTATTGGTGAAATGTGTCTCCTATATATGCAACAAATAGATGGGTTTTGTTTTTTAATCCAGTCTACTAATCTATGACGTTTGATTGAGCTGAAGCCATTTAAATTCAGGGTTAATATGTATAGGTGGTACTTTGGTCCTGTCATTTTAGGAATGGGTTGTTCATTGATTTAGTCTTCTGTTGTCATTTTACTGGGATGTTCTTCCTGTTTGCCTTTGGTTTCGGTAGGTGCTATTCTTCTTCTCTGTCAAGAGAACAACTTGAAGTATCATTTGTAGGGCAGGTAGGGAAGAGGCATATTCTTTTAACTTTTTCTTTACTGTGGAAGAATTTTATTTCATTTTCAAAGACGAAAGAAAGCTTTGCTGGGTATTTTATCCTAGGCCAACAATTTTGTTTTCTTTTAGAATCTGGAATATGTCACTCCATTCTCTTCTTGCCTATAGAGTTTCCTGTGAGAGATCTCCTGTGAGTTTACTTGGCATTCCTTTATATGTCAATTGATTTTTTTCACGTGCACATTTAAGGATCTTTTCCTTATGTTCAATTGAAGAGAGCTTGATGATCATGTGTCTTGGTGAAGATCACTTTTGATCAAGCCTGTTGGGAGTTCTGTGCCCCTTCTGGATCTTGTTTCCCAGTTCTTTCTCCAGATTAGGGAAATGTTCCTTTATTATTTCATTAAATATGTTTGCAAAACCAGTTTCTCTTTCTGTACCTTCTGGGACTTCCATAACTCTTATATTTGGCCTCTTAATGGTGTCTTTCAGTTCTTGAATACTTTTTTTGGCCTGATCCAGCTCTGCTTCCAACTTTTTGTTTTCTTCCCACTGGTGACAGGAGATATCTTCCAATTCTGAGATTCTTTCTTCTGCTTGCTTCAATCTATTTTGGAGATTCTCCACTGTACTTTTAATTTGCTCCACTGTGTTCTTCATTTCTGATATATCAGCCTTGATTTGCTTTATTGCTGCTATTGCTTGTGTAAAATATTCCTTAAATTCTTTGAACTCTTATATATGCTTCTCATTTTTTATCAGAAGCTTTAAAATCAGTTTTCTGAATTCTGTGTTCCCCATTTTCTTGATATCTTCCTCAGTTAATTCTGAGATTAGCATAGGGTTTTTCTCCTTTGCAGGGGAGTTTTCAGTAATATTTGTTGTGCCTTTGTCTCTTCTTTTGCTCTTGATCATTGTACTTCTGGTTAGCAGAGTCTTCTTCTTGGGGCAGATTTCTAAGCTGTGTCAACCACAGGTCTATAGTTTGATTTTACTTATTGAAGTTGGTACACAACTCTTTGCTTGCAGCCAATTGTTCTACTCCCTCCAGTGAGTTCCAGGTCTGTGTTCTTATGTTAGATTTCCACAAAGAACTTCGTAGCCCCAACTCCTGGCTCACCACTCTCCACCTCCTGTGATACCGTGCTGAGGCTGCACTGTTGTCTCTGCAACCTGTCTCCCTCTTCTGGTTGGAGTGGGTTCCAGGATTAAAGAGACACCAGGTGTCCTATCTAGTTAGGTTGTTGGTGGCGCTGATCTTGTCGGAACTTGTTGGACAATAGGTCTGGGTGCCAACGGACCTATTTTGACCCGTACAATGCCACAGTTTGTATTATTTTCCTGTGGGACCAGTGCAACCCATGAAACTCAGTGAGTTCTCAGGAGCTCAGCACATGCACAGTTCACTGTTATCCTCTGCAGTCCTGAAGTTTTTGCCACAGTGTACAAAATGGCACCTGACATACCACTACTAGAGTTCTTGATCTGCTGGCCATCAGGTCTGAGGGCTACCCAGACTTGTCTTGGTTGGAACCTGTAGAATGCCACGTTGATGTAGTTCACTGAGTCAGCAATGAGTTCACTCCCAGCTCAGTGCATGCTCAGTCCTTTCCCTTGCCTTTGCCTCCTTAGGCAAAATGGCACCTGATTCGGCTCTAGGGGCTGACTGGACTGTGAAATCCACCCTGTTCTCATACTGCCCGTGTGGGATCTGCTGTTCCTTCTCTGCTCCTGGTCAAATCAAATAGACCAGCAGGATGGACAGTTCTTTGTCTGGGTTCACCTCCCAAGCTCCCAGTGAAAGTCCCTTCCCACCTGGTTGCTGGTGGAGTTCAGATGGCCGTTAGCTAAATACCACTGGAATGTCAGTCACTACAACACCACATTTCCACATTGAAAGCAGTGGAAAGTGTCCATTTGTTTAAACGTGTCCTTACCCTATTCTGTCATCTTGATTTCTCCAATTTTACACCTTTTAATCAGATGTTTTGTAGTCATCTCTACATTGTTTTAGGCCAAGTGAATAGCATCTCTCTTATCATTTCCTGATGACTTGGATACATTCTTGATTATAAAGAACTGGGTGGACATAGTTCCTGTTGGGCTCATGTGAAAGAACTTGTCTTCACAGAAAGCCACCACAAATCTCTTTTCTGTCATTGTCTTCTCCTTTCTGATGATTATTTCTTCCTAATGTCAACCTCTTGGTGTCTAACAATGGACCTCTCTTGTGCTCAAGCATATACCAAGTACCTATTGCATGCCGGGCACTTGTGAAAACCTGATATCCCTTATTGCCCAGAGCTGCCTGTGAACTGCTGTCACTGCTCCCATCTTGTAGAAAACAACATCAAAGCTGAGATCACATAATCGGTAAACAAGTAAAATAAGGTCCCTGTTACTTATACTGATGCTGATATAATATCTAATTTACTGCATGTATAAGTGATATAGGACAGAACTCGTCCCAAATAAGAGTATATAAGCTTTTATGCCTGAAAAATATGGATGGATTTTAGATGCTTAGCAAGCTTATATTTCATTTAGTGTTTGCGGCTAGATTCCAACAAATTGATGGCAACAGATACATGATGACTGGATAAATATGAGATTATATTGTAATTGCTAGCACCTAACTGTAGGGAAGCCAAATCATGGAAGAGCTGGGTTTTCATCAGAGAATACATTCATGAAGAATGGGCAAGGGAAAATTTCCAGATTCAGTTGCCTTCGTGCCTGTAGGTATTGTGTCCTCTGAAACATTTTTTACATGTCACAAATTCATATTTCCTCATATGATTCAGAAGTCCTTTATTCTATGAATATATTTCTAGAAAGGTGTACAGAGAAAAAATATCTTTTCTGAGTTAAACAATGCATTTCCTGAGTCAAGCACCACTATTTCAGAAATGTTTGGAGAATGATGTTTAGCTTCATGGGCAACGATTCTCAGAGCTTCCTGCTGTCTGTGTTGGCCCTAACTCCATATTGCAATATGATCCTCCTCAACTTTTAGTGTAGTCTCCCGTGATATATAGTCAAATCACACAGTTTGATTGTGATTATTTATTTTACAAAAAAGTGTGGTTTTCTCTTTTCTTTCAGCCTTGGAAGAATTTTCTCCATGAAAGTTGCAGGTGAGTTTCATCTTAAAAAAAAAAAAAAAAAGTCCAACCCTGAGCCCTTCGACAGCGGAACTGGTTTCCTGAATGGACAGCTAAGTCTCCAGTGACTGATTTGGTTCAGTTTCCCCATCACCATACAGGGTGGCTGGTGCATGGAAAGTGCTTGGTGATGGTACCTGGCTTTTCCACCTGACCTGGCTTCACTCTAGTCCACACTTCACTCATGAAGTAGACCCTGTGTATCCAATACATATCAGGAATCCGTTCACAAGGCTATTTCAAATGCCTTTGCCTTTGCTCGTGTAATTTATCAATTCACTCCAACTTAACAGCCTAGCAAGCTCTATTCCAACAAAGCCCCCTCTTGTAAGAAGCCTTCGTTGATCCCCCTCCCTCCAGAGAAGTAGGCACTTCCTTGTCTGTAGCTCTGCTGCGTGGTACACACATGTATGCATTGATATCACAATACAAAGCTTGCTTGCTTGCTAACATGCCACTTTCTTTAATGCCTCCAAAGCATAGAGCACCTTTTATGTTGGGGGGGGGGAGGGTAATATTTACTGTTTACGGTGTTTTCCAGAGAGCTCTATTCTTCCTGGATCCAGAGCTTGGCCCTAGAACAAGCAAGCTCCTACTAGCTTCTTTTGACTCTCCTTTATCTCTTAAGTTCTTTCTAATGCATTAGAAGAAGCAAGGTCAGTGGGTACTAGAGGAGCAACTCTCAGGATGTCTGGTTAAATTTGAAAACCAGGGAATTCTGAATTGCAGGATAATAATTTGCTTCAGCTGTGCAGATTATCTATGGCTCCTTGTGTTCCCATCAGTGCTAAATTCATGATCGTAATAATTTGTTCTGTAGTACTAAACACCATGCTATGTACATGTGAAAAGGAAAACTAGTTCAGTACTCATTGAGCCTTTGTTCTATTCAAATACTGCTGGATTCAAGAGCATGAAAATAAACACAATTCTGTCATTGATCACAGATGGATATGGGATCTGATTGCTGGGAATAGGGAAGGTGATTTGTAGGGGAAATGGTCAAATCAATGGGAAATTATAATCTAATATAATTTCTGCTATTCATTGTGTGAAAACACAGAGGTGAGGCTTAAAAACAAACAAAGCAGAGGAAAAGAACAAAGAACAAGATGGAATTAGAATAAAAGCTAGGATCCATGTTACAAGAGACTTACACTTTATCCCAACAGACAATGGGGCGTTAGGAGAGTTTAAGCAAGAATTAATATCTGGAATTAGTTGGATTAGGCAGAACCTAGGAAAGCTGTCTATATGATTGATCCAATTCTAGTCCCTTTATCTTAAAAACATATATATGTTTAAATTATATATATGTATATATATATAGTTTAAACTCAGTTTTCTCATTCATTCTACTTAGAATTGAACACTGCAATATAAACATTCTGATTTATTTTCCCCCAATATCTCTTTACATTTCAGCCTTGAACATGAATACGAAGATAAAAACATGAAGGGAAAAGAGCCATACAAATTGGAACCTCCCAAATCTGAGAAAGATCTGCCTTCAACCCATCCTTTAAAGGTAGCTGAGTTCCAGACTGCTGGATAAACATACAGTTCAGACCTAGAACAGAATCAGTTCCCGAGGGCGATTCCTAGAGGCTGAGACCTGCTGAGTTATAGGGGCACAGAGTCAGAAGTTATAGAGGGTATCAGGTATCCTCGATAGACAAGACAAAACCCTAAGCTCCAGGCTGAATTTCCATTTATTAGCACAGAATAATAGCATGAAAACAGGACAGGGTCTAGAACAGGCCAACAGGGCACCCCAAGTACAAACACAAAAGAAGCACTCACCTGTCAAGTGCCATCTGTGTTATTTCCTTTTCTCTTGTTCTAAAACAGAATACATAAGAGGAACAGAAGTATACTTGGCTTATGGTTCTGGAGGATGGCATCTGTTAAAGGTTTTCTCACTGCTTCATAGCATAGCAGAAGGCAGCACGTGGAGAGACTTGCCTAGTAAGCCAAAAGAGCTGGTTTCTATATCAAAGCTACTCCCTTGATGATCATTAATTCATGATGAGTCCATTCCTGAAGGCAGATCCAATATGACCCAAATCACCTCCCAGAGGTGCTATCTCTCAATTAACATGAATTTGGAGATTACTCTTACATGAAATTAGGTGGACCCAAGAAATCCAAAAATTTGTCCCTGCATTTGAAAGCCATGGAATGAGGATTTCCTTATGTCTGGTGTCTTAAAGCCCCACTTAAAAGAGTGACTACATCTCTGAACTCCACCACCTCATCTGTAAAATTAGAATTAACAACATCTATATGACTTCATCCCATTCTATCTTGTTTGGGAAACGAGGAAATAGTTTGCATAAAAGCTTCAATAACCACCAGCTACTATAAAAACAACAAGTGCTATTGCTACTGTAATTAATATTAAACACTGCAAGTGTCATTTGTTTGTCTCCAATGGACAGTATTCTCTTTAAGAAGTATGGTGGTAGACTTAAGCAATAGTAATCACCAGGGTTCCTTCCAGGTTCAAAATAATCCTAGGTATTTGTTTAGGATGTGTCTGTATTTTGGTAACAAAGTGTACCAGTGCCATATACAGAGCTGCTTAAAACAAGCAGCAGTGTTGGCACTGTAGTCCTGAACTGTTGGGCGGGCCAGCTAAAGCAACATGAGTGTTTCCACAGTATCATGGAGTAGCATAATGCAAAGAACAGAAGAAAAGAAGCGTGCAGTGCAGGGGAGTAAAATCAAGCAACATCAGTGTCAAGTCCAGAAGATAAGAGCAATGCCTTTAGTGAGTGCTAAGGACGGTGATCAGGAGGGGTTGATCAGAATATCTGAGAAAAGGAACAGAAGACCAGGAAGAAAGGTGCTGGACTGGAAGAAGCAGGCGTCTGCATTGCTCCAGTACTACCTATATGACAGGAGCCAAGCATAGGGTCAGGCCGCACCATGAAGTCCCTTTTCATTTCCATGAAGCAAGCTTGCTTGAGATTTTGACACTGCTACAAGTTGCTTGGCACATTTTAGGTGAGTGACGGAAGTGGTTTAGCTACACAGTACTGTTTGAGAATAGAAATAAATCCGTAGATAGTTACCGCATTGTGATTGAACACCCTAAAAGACAGTTCTAAGACAATCAGGCTACTGCTTCATTAGAGGACAGTGTCTAAGCATGGCAGTCACTGTTTTTGTGTAAAATGTTGATTTCATTGCTGTCTTATCTCTCCCTATTTAAAAAATGTCATTCTTGGCCATGTGAGTTAAACTGCATCCTGTCTTCTTTTTCTCCTCATAGTTTGTCCAAGATCTTACCAAAAAGTGAGGCTATTGCATGCTTTATACCTGTTTATTGCATTGGCTTTTCCCAGGTACCCATGTAAAGGCATTAGATAGTGTCAGTCTTCTGTCCACTTGGTTTAGTAGGAGGGATGGCAACATCTCTGTTTCTTTTGATGATTAGAAAACACTTGATGGCCAAAATGCTTCTAATTCTTCTCTTTTCGCATGTCTCTTTCTGTCAAATTGTCTACATCTTTCTGAAAAGTAAATATGGGTCTGTTTTCTCCCATGACAGGTTTTCCGAAACTAAGAAACAAAACCCAAACTTTGCTTTGCCTCCAGAACCCCCTTAATGCAGCTCTGCTCTGTCTTGTTAGGTTCATGTCCAACCTTTCTTCCCACTTTCCTTAAGCTCCTCCCTCCTCCCTACACCCCTCCTCCATTCATGCCACATTAAAAGATTTCCAACACTTCAACAATTCTATTCCTTTGCTATGATGTTCTGCCATCTCATCCATCTATGTCTATTCTTATAAAATAGTTTTATAAAACATGTTTTTTTAAAGATTTTCCTTAGCTTTGTTGTAGGCGAGAGTAGTAAACTCTTTTTCCTCTTAAGATGGTATCAGCATTACTGCTGTGAATACCACTAATCACTTTGTATCCTAATCAAAATGTGTATTTCATCTTCATGATCACCCTGTACATCACCTGTCTTTACTTTCAGAATTCAGACTGTCTTACCTTGACTAGCGGTGGATGAAAAGGGAATTGAAAAACACTGGGCAGAAAGATGAAATGCAAGGAGAAAGGATTATCTGCATCCATCCCTCAGTGACTAAAACCCAGGGCTCTGGGTTCGAGCCCTGCCTTGATAGAGAACTACAAGTAGCAACAGAGGCAAGCTATTTACCTCAACAAGCTCTGTATCAAGAGGACTGACAATATGATGATTCTTTTTTCACGAAGTGTTGTAATGATTACGGGAGACAGGATATATAAACAGTGCCCCCTGTGGTTGGCACTGCACAGTAGCCCGCCTGTCCCTCATGGGAATGCCTTTGTGCCAGGTAGAACCACCAGTTCGGAGGTAAATGAAGGATGTGGTTCATGCCTGCAGAAAACAGAATCTACTAGAACAGGTTTAAGTAAGAAATAAATAATTGTTATCCATGAGAAATGAGTGAATGAAGATCACAGGATGAGCAAAGAACTAACTGGACATGTCAAAGCACCATGCTACATGCTTTGTCATGTATGTTTAGGTAGATGCATCTGGAAAAATCCAGATGATCAGAGTCCATGAAGACAGAAGCAGCATGCTGGCTGGGCAGCAGGAAGCTGGGGTTGAGGTCAACCACGTAAGGGCCTTCTCTCAGGCCCCAAAGCTGCCTGCGTATTCACTAGGACAAGGTAAGTTTAATTCTTCCTCATACTCTCTAACATTTCCAAACTATTTTAAAACTAAGTATGATCATGATTTTAATCCATTTTAAGAACTCTTGCGTTTATTGAATATTTATTATGTACCAAGTAGTTTGCCAAAGTGAGACAATTATGCAATACTTTAAAGTTTTGGAATTAGAAGCAGAAAACTTGAATGCGAATCTAGGCTCTGTAATAAGTAGCTTCATATTCCTCCAACTCAATTTCTTCCTTTATAAACATGGAACATACTACAGATCCCACAGTGGTTTTAAGGACCAAATCTGAAAGACAGTGTTTGAGAGGGGCACATAGCTTTTTTTTTATTTATTATTCTTTTAAATTCCTACTGGTTCCTGTCATCTTTGTAATGCTTTGAAACACTTTGTGTCATCTTTGACACACGAATGAAGCAGTGCAGTGTGATATCCTTTGAAGATATCTTGCAGATTGCATTTTACTTACCTATTGATCAAAGCTCTTGATTGTAAGCAAAACTAAATGAATCATAAGATGTTCAGCAAAGCAAAGGATCACCTAGCACAAAGTCTAGTCAGGACAATATCCAAGGACACATTTTCACAAAACCTCAATAACACATTTTTCTGTCTCTAATTTTGCTTCCTTCTGAAAACAAATTCCTTCGTTGGGGTGGCAGGGGACCAAACAGTGACAGGCTAAAACCTATCCCCATGAATAAATTTGAAAAAAAAAAACCACAAGAAAATAAACAAAACAAAACAAAAATCCTAAGGGCACTTTTTATCTTAAAAAAAAAAAAAAGGTGTAAGATCAAGACCTTAGTCTTAATGGCTTTGAATGGGTCATATGTTATCCCTAAACCAATCATTGAAGATAAGGAATATAATGTTCTTACTGGCTCACTCCCTGCGATAAATTCACCTCAAACTGGGATTAGAATAAATTCTGTCTAAACTACATACCATTAGATTGAAAGATTCCTCAAGGAAAAAGAACAGCTGTTATATGGGGGGAAAAATGTGGCTAGACATAGACAAAGTGGATATCCACTGCAGTCTATATGTGTGATTCTTACAGATCACAAAATGGACTCAAGGTCCCTTAAGATCTTCAACCTAGTTGGTCTTGCCTGGTGCCACACAACTCCCCGATGTCACTTGAGCTGTTCACAGTGTCATGTACTTACATGCCGTGTGGTGTTCCTCGGTCTTGTTCCTCAAACTGGAGTGCCTTTACTTCCACTCTACTCCCTGGTGTTCTTTCCATCCTTCAAAATCTGCCTTATAATTGGAAAATGTGAACTAGGAACCGGTCATAAAAGTGAAAAAATATTGTGAAATGGGGAAAATATTTGAACAGGCAATTCAACAGGAAGATGCCTAAAAGGCAAACATATGACAAAGGGGCAATGTTATTAACTGTTAGAGAAATACAAGTGAGACCTTCAAGCAGTATCTCCAACTGCCCATGAAAACAGCAAAAACACAAAATACTGAAAATATCAAATATTTGTGAAGTTACGGAGCAACTCACATTTTGTGGGATTATAATTACAATAATCATTTTGGATAATTGTAATATTAAAATCAGATATATACATATCCTACAACCTAAAGCTACATGTCTATTTATAAAACTAATATAAATGCATTCTTCAGTTCACCAAAAACATACACAAGATGTTCATGGCAGAACTCTTTTGTCAACAGCCTGAAACTGAAAACTGCTCAAAATACCTATCACAAGTACAGTGGATAAATAAATAGTAGCATATTAATTACAAATATATGCAAAAATATGAATCGGTCTCACAAACACAATGTTAAAGTAAGCAATGTCCAAAAATACACAGTAAATAACTCATTTAAGGATAAGGGTCACAAAGATCAGACTTTACCTCTAACAATGGCGTCAAATGGTGGCTACCCTGAAGTGTTGGGGGAGGGGCAGATGGTGACTAGTAAGTTCAAAATGGGAGATCCCAGACACTGGCTATGCTGTGTTTTTGTTCCATGTTCTTGAAATTGTTTAATTTGGAAAAAGTTGCTGTTTATTTTCAAAATGTATACTCTTCCTACATAAAATATTTTAAATTTTAAAACAATACAGCAACTCAAAAGATAGAACATATTTTCCTTCCAAAAAAATAAAGAAGGACAAAAATAGAATAAAAAGTAGAACTCTTAAATACATAACAGGAAGGGCAAAGTGAAATAAAATAGTAGATGGTAAGTATAAAAATTTTAACATATTGGTAAACACTAAATATACTGGCTAGAATACAAACATAATATATTAATTCAGTATTCAAAAAATATTTCCATGCTTTTAGTTTCAGGTAATATGAGCATAGTAATAAACAAAATACACAAGAATCCCTATCCCTGTGTAAATTCCAATCTGCAGAGAAATACAACAAATACATGAATAATAAAATGTTACTATGTGGCTGCATATTATTAAAAAGTGGTGATAAATACTATTAAAAATTAGAAAATTAGATGGGATTGGTAGCTAGAGCTGTACTTTACATAAGCACATGGATGACCTTGCAGAGCTAAAGAGCATGAAGAGAAGAGCCATCCATGTATCTTGGCTAAGACTGTTGTAGGGAGAGGCAACCTGAAGGGCAGAAGCCCTGAGCCAGGAGCCTGTGGTGTTAGTGGAGCAGCAAGGAGGCCGGAGTGGTAGAGTGACTGAAAGAGCAGGCCCAGAGACTGCAAGGGGCTTTAGAGTCTGCTTCAGAAATTTTGACAGTTCTTGAAATTTGGTTTTTAATGGCCGTCTAAAATTCTCAGCACCGGGCCAAGCGCTATGGCACAGTGGTTATGGTCCTTGCCTTGCAAGCCCGGGATCCCATATGGGCGCTGGTTCTAATCCAAGCAGCCCTGCTTCCCATCCACCTCCCTGCCTGTGGCCCAGGAAAGCAGTCAAGGACAGCCCAAAGCTTTGGGACCCTGAACCTACGTAGGAGACCCGGAAGAGGTTCCTGGCTTCAGATTGACTCAGCTCTAGCTGTTGCGCCCACCTGAGGAGTGAATCATCGGATGGAAGATTTTCCTCTCTGTCTCTCCTCTCTGTATATCCACCTTTCCAATAAAAATAAAATAAATCTTAAAAAAAAAATTCTCAGCACCAAAAAGGCTTGGTTTGATTGCACTTAATAGATTGATCTGGTGGCTGATTTGAAAATAGAAAGTAGGGTAAATCAAGCAGCTTTTTGGGAGATTACTGTAATCATTTGGGCAAAAGATGGTAGTTGCTTGGAGGAAGGATGCATCACAGAGCAGCTGAGAGATATGTTTAGACTCCAGATAAAGTTTCAGTAGTGCTAACAGATGGCTGTGCATTGGAGGGGAAATTTGATAGGAAAGAGAAACAAAGATGTGTCCAAAGTTTGGGGCCTGAGCAACAAAATGGATGGGATTATCATTTTTACTGAGAGAGGACAAACTTTAGGAACAGCAAACTTGCAGTGAGAAAGCATGAGTTTGTTATGGAACACAACATGTTTAGGCATCCAAATGGAAATGGTGTGAAGGTTGACAGAATATCTGTAATTCATGAGTAATGTCTATAGTGAGACGTAAATTTGAGAGTCATCTGTGATCAAAACGAGGCTGTAAATTTACATTTGCTTCAGCCAAAAAGAAAGATTAAAATTTTTTTGTTTTTTCAAATGCCTCAAACTAAGACTTAAACAACTGTTTGTTTAGCATGTCCATTTTATGCTGGAGAAATTTACTCTGAATTTGAGAGAGTACAAGGCCTTATACCTCTGGGAACTGACATTCAGGGAGAGGGTTTCAAACCTACGTGTTGAGTGATGTCTTGTTAAAGGATACAACACTATTTTTCATTCACCTACTAGTACCATATAATTGCTTATTATTTATTTCTCTGGTATATTGCCTCATAGTTCTAATCAATAATTCATGTTGGAAAGCAGTTTTCATCTGTGTCCTAAACATATTAACCAATGCCAACTGATCAAGAAGAAACAGCTTTATAGTTATGATGAGTTTATGAAGTAAGCCAGCACTTGCATTTAGTAGCCTAACTACCTGTACAGAGAAACCTTATGCATTTTAAGCCGAGTACATGATCTTCTAATTCCAACATTAACTGATAATACATATTAACATGTGCTCAACCTATCTAAGAATGTTTGCTTTAAGCAAAAAAAATGCCATATAACTAGGTAAGGTCATCTAGATGTGGAGAAAGAAGCCTTAAGTGTGAACCTCAGACAGCTTCAAATTTTGAGGCCAGAGATTAAAAGAGGAGCCATCAAAGAGTTACTGCTTTATCAGGGAAAAGGCAGTTTGTATAAATGTGTTTAATCTTTGCCACAATAACATAATAAAGTATGCGATTTTTTTTTTAAGATTTATTTTTATTATTTTTTATTGGAAAGGCGGATATACAGAGAGGAGAGACAGAGAGGAAGATCTTCCAAACGATGATTCACTCCCCAAGTGGGTGCAACGGACGATGCTAAGCTGGTCCGAAGCCAGGAACCTCTTCCGGGTCTCCCACGCGGGTGCAGGGTCCCAAAACTTTTGGGCCGTCCTCGACTGCTTTCCCAGGCCACAGGCAGGGAGCTGGATGGGAAGCGGGGCTGCCGGGATTAGAACCAGCGCCCATATGGGAGCCCGGGCTTGCAAGGCAAGGACCTTAACCACTGTGCCATAGCGCTGGGCCCAGTATGCGATCTTAAAATTTTTAATTCTGTATATTTTTTCTTTTTATTTGAAAGGGAGAGAGAAAAAAAATACTGATCTTTCATCTGCAAGGTTTACTCCCCAAATGGACCCTCAACATCCAAGGCTGAGATAAGGCGAAGCCCCAAGCCTGGAACTCAGCCCAGGTCTCCATCAAGGATGGAAAGGACCCCTGTTCTTGAGCCATCACCTGCTGCTTTCCAGGGCGTACATTAGCAGAAGGTTGGACTGAAGATGGAAGTACGAGTGAAATCAGGCACTCTGGAAAGTCTTCCAAGCAGCAGCGTAACTGCTGGTCAAACAGCCACCCCAGAGCAGGTGTTACTGTCTTTGTCCTCAGACCCTTCAGGCCTCACAACTAAGGCTCTGTAAAATAGTGCAGGTTGCATGAGGATTATGTAGCATGATGATATTTTAGTTTTTGCTCATTTCATCTGCCTTTTCCGGTTTCCACTTCCATGCCACAAATGTGTGTAAAATGCATTTATACAGAAGCGGACAGATGATCTCCAGAGAGGGTCTGTGTTTTCCTTCCAGATGGCTATGTGCATGCTGTGGAGCTGGCTACGGAACCTCCAGGGCCGGGGGTCTTTTTGAGAAGTCCCATTCCAGAGGACATGTATGACGATGTTGAGTGCTCCAGAGAACGGTAAGGCCCTTGCTGCAAGATGAACATGTTCATGTCCAGGAGGTCTACCAAGTTAATTATGGGTCTGTGTATCTTCTTTCCCATAGACCAAAACCAGACTTTTCTAATTCCCTCAGTTCAGATGTGGGTAAGTACATGGATGCATTTCTGAGCACGTCAGCAGGAATTACAGAGTGGGTGTGTGGCTGAGGTGTGATGTCATTTATTTTACGTATGTTTGATGTGGGAATGAATGGTTGGCATGATGGTGAGATGGAAAAGTGGTCACGATATGTGCAAACGAAACTCTTAGAATCTGAAGATGTTCACAAGGACATCTGGTAAGAAGTAGATTCCTGGTCAAGCACTTCCTTGGCAATCTCTTCATAGTGCAAGTCTGATGACAGGACTGTTCTCAAACTGCATGATTTTGGATGGGTGTAATGCACTGCATGCCTCTTGGAAAGCCTGAATCCCATGTGAGAATGCCTGGGCTCTAGTCTCCATTCCACCTCACATCCGGCTTCCTACCCCCTGCAACCCTGGATGGCAGCAGATAATAACTGAAGTGGTCAAGTGCCTGGTACTTTGGGAGACAGGGACTGAGGTTTGGGTTTCTGGCAATTGCAAGAATGGATGACTTCTCTGTATCTATCTCTTGGTCTCTGACTTCAAAATAAATAAAAATAACTAAATTCATATAAGTAAAAAATAGTGAAAACGCATATAAATAAAAACCTTAAAGTAAAAAAAAAATAATTTAAAATGTATATAAAATACTGCTTGACCTTCACATTGAAGGTCACTGCCCTCAGTCTTCATCTTGGAGAGCCAGTTGTGCTGACCTTCCAGCTTCTGCAATCTGCCAGGCCACAGTGCAGGAACTTCCATGTAGAAACTCCTGGAATGCTCTTTCCTGCCCCAGGCCCCTTGCCAACTGACATACTTACTCTTTGTCTTGACTTCAGTCTGATGATTATTGCATCAGGGAATACATTCTCATGGTGCATGGACTTCTATTTCACAGCTCTTGTTGCAGCTGTGGCTTGATGTTTATGTGATTCTTTAATGACTATCTCCCATCTACACTGTTAGCTCCTTTATGCATGCATGTGTCTCTATTCGCTCTAAACTGTAGCCACCTTTTCTCTCCAGTCATTAACATAATGCCAGGCACATGTGAAACATTAAAAAATATTTAATGTATGAATAAAAGACACTGTATATAATGTATGACAAGGAGACACTGGTAAAAAGATAACACAATTTTAGTTACTCAAGAGGAATAAGTTGAGGGGATCTGTTATAAAACATGTGATTTCAGTTACTAACAATGAGTGGTATACATGAAAATTGCTGAGACAGTAGACTTTTATATAAAAGATTTTTAAATTTATTTGAAAGTCCTAGTTACAGAGAAGGAGAAAGAGAGATCTTCCATGTGCTGGTTCACCTCCCCAAATGGAAAAATGGCACCTGGCTGAGCCATGGGGAAGCAAGGAGAACAAGAGCTTCATATGGGTCTCCCATGTGGGTAACAGGTCCCAAGCACTTGGGTCTTCTTATGCTGCCTTTGCAGGTATATTACCAAGGAGCTAGATCAAAGTCAAAACACCTACTTCAACTTGTACCCCTAGAGGATATTGATGCTGCAGGCAGCAGCTTAACTGACTATGCCATAGCATGGGTCCCTAGATAGTTTAGAAGAAATTTTCTGTAATGATTTTATCACCTTTTAAATAACAATTCATTTTTATTTGAAAGGGGAGGAGAGAAAAGGGAAAGAGACAGAGAGAGAGAGAGAGAGGGAGAGAGAGAGAGAGAAAGAAATATACTTGCTGGTTCACTTGCTAAGAATCTCAGTAACTGGAGTTTAGCCACAGGTCAAAAACCCAATCACTCAATCTGGGTCTCTCATGTGGTGGTAGGACTCAATGACTTGAGCCATATTCTGATACCGCCCAGGAAGCTGTAACTGGAAGTGGAGCCAGAATTTGAATTATTGTACTAATATTGGGAGTGAGCATCTCAAGTATGATTTTAACCACTGTGCCAAATACATACCCCTATCTTCTAAAAAAATAGCATTTGTGATAACGTGTTTGCAATAACATGTTGAATCATTCACAATTAGATATAATTGTCAAAGCTTCATGTAATATATTATAAATATGTATAATTTTATCTATTAATAACAACATCTTTTAAAAAAGACCAATTAATGAAGAAGGGCTATCAAATGTTGTTCAGATTATTTTTGTCCCTCCTATAAATCCTCACCTTGCACATACCAGAATTCCATATAAGCACTGGATCATATCCCAGATGTTCCACTTCCCATTCAGCTTCCTACTTGTGGTCTAGCCATACAGTAGAGGATGGCCTAAGCCTTGGGACCCTGTACCCACATGGGAGACCTGGAAGAGGCTCCTGGTTTCTGGCGCTGGATCGGCTCAGTTCCAGTCATTGAAGCCACTGGGGAAGTGAACCATTGAACTGAAGATCTTTTTCTCTCTCTCTCCTTCTCTCTGTAAATATGCCTTTCTGATAAACATAAATAAATCTTTTTAAAAATTCCAGAATTTAATATAGAGGAATACCTTGGAGATAATTAAACCAATACTTTAAGGCACAGAAATTAAGTGAATGTTCTAATATGTTTATGTTGTTAGATCAAGTATTGAGCCTCAAAGCCTGTCCTTTAATCCAAAGTTGCTTTCATTATATTCTGTCACCAGGGTGGAATCAAAGCATACCTCTGTGTGTTAAGCTCACGTGCTAGGCTGAACAGAGCTGACTGTAACAGGAGAGATTATTTGAGATGTAGCTGGTTTTCCATTGTTTTCCAGCATTCAGAACAAGGTCTAATGTTTCATAGGTCCTGGAAGATATGTACCAAATATAGCAAAAATAAAAGGATGGGGAAAACACTATATTGATAATCAACTTTTTTTTTTACTAAAGCAGATCAGTTTTGAAGCTATGATAAGTTAGAAGTGATAGTTAATTTTCAGATGTATATTGCTTTAGAACGGTTTAATTATTTTTATTGTACTCTTGTGGAAACATGTGCATAAATTTCAGTAAAAATGACTTCAAAGAATAAAAAAATCAAGATGCCAGTGCCTGGTAGGCAAATAGTGTTGTTAAATATCAGGCTTATCTGTTGAATTTTAATAATTAAAATTTTTATTTCAGAAGAAAATAATAAAATATATGAAGATATCTACAAAACAAATGACAACTGCTCAACTACAGAGTGAGTTTTTTCCTTGAATTTCCAGCTTATGGTATTTCTTGTTAGTCCATAAAATCAAGCTTTGAGAATGACTGACTCTCTCTCCCCCACTTACCATCCCTTAGGGAAGACTTACATAACAGCAGTGATAAGCTATTGCAATACTATCTGGTGATATATAGGATGCTTGGGATTATGTACAATCATATGCTATAAATTTTAAATTACACTGCTTTCTCATTTGCGAAAATAGCCATTTCCCGGGGAAGAGGACTTTGATATTGTGTTAGGACATAATGAGAAAAGAGAAATAAGTGCCAATAAAACTTGCTTCAATTCTGCAGTTGCTTTTCCCAGAGCAAATCAATGGCTATTACTTAGCTATGCCTTTGCATGACTGAGAGCTGGACATTAATATCTAGCAATTCATTATTTAAAGGATAATATTTGTTCTAATGGTATATTTGCAAGTTTAATTATTAAGGCTACAAGATGAAAAGGAAGCAGCAAAGGTCAAAAGCAAGATATTTAAAGGATAAAGAGAAAGGGACATCGTGGGCAGGACATGCTAGGTGGGATCATGCGTCACTGCCTCTTTCTTTCTCTAGAATGAAATCTAGAAGAATCTTAATTGTCATCTGGGAAACAAATGTAATGACCATTGCTGTATCAGTCAGTAAGTTGAAGTGCAGTGTTCTGAATTTCATGAGCCAGGAATTCCTATACTATATGTTGTCTAAAAGTTTGTAAACTCTATTTCCCTGGATTATCTTCTCTAAGGGACTTTGTTCCATCAAGTCTGCAAACGTAGAGAATAACTTGGGTGGATGAAAGTTTGCACTGACAGTTACTGGCATAAGAGGCGACTGCTATGTGAGACCTCATAGCATGCTCCAAAGGAGAGAACCCTAGCTGTTGGCATTTGAACACAGCAGCTTTCCAGCTTTAGGATATAGGTACTACCCAGTACCACATGATTCATAGTTTGTGACTCCTCTTAGTTTAGATGGAAAAGAAACACTTAAAAAACTGCAGCACTTCTTCCAGAAAGAAAAGAAAAGATTTAAGGTGAAGAAAGTCAAGACAAAGGAAAACATAAGGTAAAAAGTCTCTTTTGCTCTTTTCCTAGCAGGGAAGTAACAAAGCCAACCTAGTAGACACACAGTTTGGTATTCTTTATCCAATTCTCAGAAGCAGTGAAGAGGGTACCAGAATTGAAACCCAAGCCTTTGATTATTGCCTATCTCTTTCTTGCAAATTTCTGAATGAATCACATTCAAAGATACTATTGGGAAAGTAGCACATACCTTTTGCAAAACAATGATGAGGAAAAACTTGTAAATAAAGGTTAAAAGGAATGTTTTTTAATTAATTAATTTATTTTATTAATTGCATTGCATTATGTGACACAGTGTTATGGGCACTGGGATCCCCCTTACCCCTCCCGAAACCTTCTCCCCATGGTGGATTTCTCCACTTTGCTGCGTTACCACAGTTCAAATTCAGTTGAGGTTCTTTCATTGGAAGTATTTACCAAGCATAAAGTCCAGCATCTTATCCTAGGGGGGTTCAACGATTTCTTAGTGAGACCATCTCTGGTCTGAAGGTAAAGCCAGCAAAGTATCATCCCAATCAATTGAAGGCCCCGACATAACATCAACAGCCATTTACAACCTTATGGCATTAGTTGACATGGTATTGATTAATAGTATGCTGATAGGAAAATGCGGTTTCTTAACTACATCCTGTGACTTCTTCATAGACAGTTCAATTTTAGTTTATATTCAACCTGATTCCATACAGTTATCAGCTGAGGTACAGTACATTTTTTTTTTTTAGGATGGGTGTGCAGAGAAATCCCCCATACCCCAGGGAGGTGTAACTACTCTTTGTGTCCCACCTAATGAGGCATGTTTGGGTCCACGCTGGCCGTTTTAAAAGGAATGTTTTAAGCAAAGTCCAGAGCGGAGACTATTCTCTTCATCCTTGGCATCAATGACTTCTGTTTACATTACTAAATATTGCATGATTGATTATTTCCCTGAGTGCTTTCTTATGCCTTCAAGTCCATCGTTACCTCCTAGAAAAGCAGTGATGTGCAGGGAAGGGAGATGAGCAACACTGCCAGAGGTTTCTTACATCTCAAAGTCTTGGATTTGGACTTGGCCCTCCACACAGATGATCTAGGTTATCTTACAGTCTGGGCAGGCTCCAAATTTGTCAGCAGTTTGAGGATGCCAAGCTCCCAGATTCTGAACTACAATTTCAGTTCTCATTCAGAGTGCAATTGTGAATAAATTGTTTACTTTTTTGCACACAAAGGTCCTACTTTCTTCCTGCATACAATGTAATAGAACTTACAGTCTCCTTTAGAATTCTATCTTTGATATGCAGCAACGGGTCAACATTTTGTGAGAGCAGGATTTTGATACATAATTAACACTAAATTAAGATCTGTTGAATGGATAATTCATCTAGCAGAAGGAGATATTATGTCAGATGTTGTTTGTGGACTCCATTTAAATATTTAAACTGGAGCTACCACTACCTGGACCCAATGATAATGAGAGCAAAGGAACCAGTGTTAAGAAAGCCTTCTCCAAGTCAGAACACCTATGGCAGCCATGTTTAAACGCCAACCAGGTATTCAGTTGAGGAACTCCCAGTATTTATGTTCAGTACTTAAATGTGTTGTCTAATTCTTACAATAATCCACTGAGTTATAAATTTGTTTCTCCATTTCACGGGTGAAAAAAAAGTTATGCCTTGAAAATGTATATGACTTTTCCAAAGTCACTTAGCAGCCAAACAGCAACACCAAGGGTCAGAGTCAGCTGTGTCTGAATGCAATGACCTATGTTTCTTCATAGCCACCTCCATGTCATGCTGCTGGCAGCGTCTAGTATGGTCCTGCAGACAGAATCAGTGGGGATCTTTATGCTGCATGCCTGCCCCAGGCCCATCCACTGAGGTCAGCTTGTCCAGTCCTTACAGTAAGATAGGCACGGATGTTCGTTTTAAGAAGAAACTATGGCTACCTAAGTGTTCAGATTGTCCCCCGCCCCCAGTGCTGTTCCTGTATGCATTCCTTTATTATGCTCTTTTCACTGGCATGCTTTAGTGCTGATCTCCCTCACTGAACTTCAAACTACTGCAGGACAAAAACTGTAGGACATTTCATAAATTGGCACTTGGGCCTGGTCCACAGTGAGGATTTCAGAATACATATAGGGCAGAATTTAGAATAAATTCTTCAGTCAATTTAAATACTTAAAATACATGGATGTTCTCCTGATACATCTGATCCTTCTGTGTGATCTCTTTAACTGTGAAATTTGAAAGGGACCAAACAATCTTGCTAAATCACATGTCTTATCCCTCTGGGCAGCATGCTGCCTTGCATTTCTGTCTGACAGAATTCTCCATTTAAGCCAAACTTTGGCTTAAGTAATCAAGGCAGAGAGCAGTGTCTGTGGAGAGATGTCATTAAGACATCAATAGGTTGTTCTCTCTTGCCAGTCTCATCCATGCAGATGGTGCCTTGGAAGCTTAGCCAGGATTCCAGGCGTGAGGATCACACTGCACAGGCAGTGTGAGGTTGTACAGTTAGGAAGTGGGGTTCAGGAAATCAGTGAGGATGAATTTAGAAGGCTTGGGCTTTCTAACCAGGATGAAGCTGTTGAAGTTTGCTCTACCTCTTTGCCTAGAAGCACCTGTACTAGAACACCACTTCACCAATATGTTATTTGAGATGTATCAGCTACCTTTTCTCAACATGACTGACCTTTTTTTGTGTGTGTTTTGTCAATCAGCAGTGCATTTTCCATTTCGCTGCCTAATTTAGGTAAGTGATACTTAATGTTGACCAAAAGTAATCAGCATTGGTACATTCAAGAGCAGGGAAAGGGTGTGATAATGCTTCCTTCAGGTCTACATTTGGTGACAAGTGGCACATTGAAAGCAAAGATGATATTGTACGCAACAGTATTTCTGACTTAGGGAAGATGTGAAACATTTCTGAAGCACCTGCAATATAGCAGGCCAAGAGGTAGATGCTTGCCTCTTAAAATCTTGGAGAAATAGATGTTTCCCCTTTTGGGGTTGCTCTAGTACTTACATTCATTCACAACTGATTTGAATTTGTACTTAAAACCTCTCTGACCAGGAAGCTTGTACATTTTTATACAATCCCTTGTACGTATTTAAAACTTTGATACCCATATCACCCTAATTAAATCATAAGTTGAACATGATCATATTGTACAGACTATATTAATTAAGTCAATGATAGGTCATCATAATATTGTTTGCTTTGCCATTAAGATGGTAGTGCAGAAGTTGGCACATACCTGACCATAGTATGGTTTTAACACATGCTCAGAGTGTTGAATTTTTCAGAAAAGAGGGACATGTGGTTTATTGGTTTTTGCTTGGATTCTAGCCACGTGATGACTTTGGTTTCATTCTGCTTGACAATTCAAATGAACATTCAAAACATGAACTGCTGAACTCAATAAAGATTTTACATATATATATATATAATTACAAAATGGTAAAATGACACATCTCCCAACATGTCTTTGGTCTGTGTTTAAAAAGAAATCACCTAGAATAGTAACATATTTTTCAGCTTGAGAAATAACCAAAAGAAAAAAAGACATACTGTTGCATTCCTAATCTTACATCATGGTTGGAAGTTTAAATGTAAGTACACTAAAAATATTTGTAAAATATTACCTTCAGACTAAGTGTACATATGAAATCTAAATAAATTCTGAATCCAGACATGGGTTCTGTCCCTAAGATACCTTATTATTCATCAACAAATATTTCAAGTATTTCAGATACTGAACATGTAGTTTCTCCAAAATTTAAAATGTTAAATAAAATAATGGATAATTACAGCTATTTGAATAGTAATTAGGAATAATTATTTCAGAAGGTTTCAAGCTTGTTTAAATGAAAAGGAATTTACTGTAGACTATTAAGGAATAAGTATATCTTACATGAAAATATCTAATTAATATTACCATAAGTAAGATTAAATATTATGCGGTATTACTAAAGAGCAGTTACCAGCAGTTTACAATAAAAGATTATGAAAGTAAAATCAACATTAATGTTTTATCAGATGGATTTTTTCCCCCTGGGATTTATGAAACGACTTATTTCTATTCTGGCAGTATAACTTCTTTTACCAGATCTAGAATGGTGGGAGCCTAATCTATACAATTCTAACATCGTATTTTTCTGCTATTCTTCATGAAATCAGGCTGGAAGTCAAATTGATACAAATGCAAATACATTTCTGAGATACGAATATACCTATTTTTTTAAAGTTTCTTTGTTAAATTTCTTCCCCAAGTGTTGAATTTTTCCTCTTTGAGCTTTTTACTGTATCTGTATTCTGTAACCAAATTTTAATAAGCTTGAGGATGCATCTGGAAAATTAGATAATTATGTATAATTTGAAAACTAAAAACACTATAAAACATACCGGGTAATAAACTGTTTTGATCCTATTTTGACTCTAGAGTTTAAATCTCAGGAAGTTATTATCTATGATGACGTGGACATGAGTGGAAAAGAGACAAAGTAAGTCAATCTACCCTGCTGATCCCCTCTGCTGATAACCCAATCTTTTTCTGATGCTTTGTAAAACATACTAAGAAAGTCATTCTTTGCTCTTACAACTGTATGTATGAAATACAGGAAATTTTTCCCTTTAAAAATGTTCTAAAAAACAAACAAAATAGAAAGCTGTGTGTCTGCATCCTTGGAGAAGGAATAAAAAATGAACTTGAGCTGTCTCCTTCACTCAAAAGGGAGAAGGAATAACACAGATGACCTAACCATCGTAGGCAACCCAAAAGGCACTGGCATTTTGGGGGCTCTGATTGTGTGCCTTATGTTTTAATCTGAAGATATGAAACTCATTTCAACACATTCGTTTAGAAAGAGCAATTTGGCAGAATCTCTGTTTTCCAAGACTAATTATAATTCATAAGAGAAGAAACTAAATTCCATGCCCACTCCATAGATTCTCATTTTCTGTCCTTTTACACTCAACCAAATGGTTGGAAATAATAGTTCCCCTCTGTTCGTCTTTAATTCCTCTTTCCCTACTCATTGCAATGGGTTTTTGTTCCTATAATGTCAGGGTTCCTACATTTGGTAAAGCCATTAAATCTCCTTTGGTTAACACAAAGAATACTTAACTCCATATCTCATTTGGCTTCACTAATATATCTTAAACTTTTAGCTGTCCTATATTCTAAAAGAAAGGGCACCAGCTTTTCCCTGTTACTTTTCTCATTCCTCATGCTTGATTCTTCTAAATGCTTGCATGTGTGTTGTGTGTGTTCTGAATCTTCAACTCATATTTGATTCACATTCACATGCCTTAAATCTGACAAGATGTTCAGCACTTCAAAACTGTAAACATTTGTTCTGTTTTCATTAATTTAGCCAGCAAACCTTCACTGATCATAAACTATGTGACCACATTGTTCTAGGTGCTGAGTATGAAATAATGATCCTTAGGAAGAGAATTTCTAATCCCTTCTGATTGTAGATAAAGATCAGCAAATGAAGAAAAATTGCACATAAAACTACACATTGCAATTTGGTTGTTTTGAAACAGGGCATTTTGGAAGTGGATATAGGATACAGGATATGTGTGTTGGTCAGGATTGACATCCGTTTGGAGTAGATAAGCTCAGAACTTAAAAACAAAATAGAATGTCTTTGTAACCCGTTTTGCCAGCCTTTTTGCCTGGTTAATTTGATTAATAATTTTAAGCCCTATTTAAGGCTGAATTTAGATTTTTATTTTCCCCAAGAATCCTTCTCTTACTTTAGCTATTTTGGATTAGGTACCTCTTTTTTCCATCAGAATATTTTTATAGTAATTGCAATAATGTGTTTTCTTGACGTTGAACTCCCTGATTAGTAACTGTGGCTTTCAGATCTATCTCTTATGATCTGAAATGAAAACATGGCTTGTCTGGACAAAGAAGGATTCACTCTAAAATCGGCATGTTCAGAGGAAACAGGCACTGCTATCATTTAGGGCATCAGAAGGTCTGCTCTGCTGATGCAGAGCACAGGTAACATTTTGACCTGTAGACACCAGGAGAGAGAAGACAGGGTAGGGAATAGATGGAAAACATGGATGTCTGGGAAGTTTTGTTGGACAATTAACCATTTGATCAGAAAAGAGGGTGTTACTAGTGGAAGGTGCAATTTGGAATGTGATGGAGGAGAATCCTGTATAATGTTTACGTAAACAATGGATTCACTTTGAAAATGAATTATAAAAATAAAAAGAAAATAATACTAGGTGTAACTTGGAATGCATGGCAAAATAAATTGATCTGAACAAATCATTCAGAAACTAGAACAAGAGAAATAAAAGGCCTCTTTTTCTTAGGCGCCACCTATGGCCTATCTTACTGCCTCTACCCCAAGGTACTCATGCTCAGACATTTTAGGATTTCCCTTTTTTGAACAAAAAAAATTGAAAAGCAGAGTTAAATACACACACACACACAGAGGCACAGAAAGAGAGTGAGAATGAGAATATATATATGAATCTTCCACCAGCTAGTACACTCTCCAGACAGCTACAATGACTGTGGTTGAGCCAGGCTCAAGTCAAAGATTCATCTGGATCTCTCACATGAATGGCAGGGGCCCAGAACATTGGGCCACCTTCTGCAGCTCTCCCAGGGGCATTAGCAGGCAGCAGGACCCGAGATGGAGCAGTCAGGACTCATACCGCTGCTCATACGAGATGCCGGCACTGTACGAGCGTGCTCAATCTGCTGGACCAAATGCTGACCCCACTTTCATTTTCTTTTTAAAAATATTGCTGCTGGGACTAGTGCTGTCTGTGATCCCAAGATCCCACATAGGTGCCAGTTGGTTTCCTTGCTGCTTCGATTCTGATACACACCTGGATTATGTACCTGGGAAAGCAGCAGAGGATCATCCACATCATTGGGTCTCTGAATGCTCAGAGGGGACCCGGAACGTGCTCCTGGCTCCTGATTTAGGACGGATCCATCAGTTGTTGCAGCCATTTGAGGAGTGAAGCAGTGGATTGAAGATATTTCTCTGTCTCTCCCTGTGACTCTGGTTTTAAATAAGTAAATCTTGAAAAATATTTTTTAATCAAGCACAAAAAATATTTTATTTGGGATTTGAACACTGTAAAAAATGTTATGCTGTTATATGGAGTTCTGATTTTTTATTCAAATAAAATTCACCATTTTCAGCATTATAATACTTTAGCTTTTGCTGCTCTATAGTATTGCATTGTATGTGTATACAATAATTCATCTGCCTAAACCCTTGTTGTTAAAGGCCGGGGTAATTCTCAAATTTTGTATTTATAATCAATACTGCCATAGATATCAAAGGGTCCTGTGAGTGCGTGCAAGCGTTTTTTTTTTTTTTTCTAGGAGATACACTTACTAGGACAAATGAATGCAAATTATACATGGAATGCCAAATTAGGAAAATGCCAACTCACTTTCCAAAGTAATTATACCCATTTAACTCACTCCTATTCAGATAGATTTCTATTTCCTCATTAATACTTAGAACAGAATGAATTCTGATAGTCTCCCAAATTAGTGTGTATAAAATACTATCACACTGTGGTATGAATTTGCATTACCTTTATAGCAACATTTAACCCTCTTTTAAATAATTTATTCCCCATTCATTTCTTTCTTTCTATAGAAGGTCTGTTTCTGTTGTTCCTTGCTTTTAAATGGGGTTGCTGGGTCATTTTCCTATCTACTTGTAGGTTTTTTCTGTTTTTTTTTTAATTTTTGCTTACTCTGGATGCTACTCTTTTGCTCCTTATATGTACAATAACATCTTCTTACTGATAATTTCATGTTCCATATATCCTTCACCCATAGTTGGCCAAGGTCTAAAATTTTAAAATAAAAAATTACATAAGTAACTCCTAAGTTTTGAACTGTATCATTCTGTCATGATGAAATCCTGGGGTGGTCTGCTCCATCCCAACCTGAACATGAATCCTCACTTCTTCCACACTGTACACTCTACCCACTGATCAGTGACCTAGTTGCCCCAGGAACAAGTGTTCGAATTATCCTTACTTTACTGGCCCTAAAATGCAAGTAATCATACTAGCAATTTGCATTTGCCAAAGAGAAGACATAAAGAGCTTCCTTTCAATGAAAGTATGGACAGTCTTCATTCAAACAGGAAAGAAAAAAATTGTATGCTGATGTTGCAAAAATTTACAATAACAGTACATCTACCCACAATTGTGGGTAGAAGGAAGGAAATTGTGAAGGAAAAGGAAATTGGTGCTAATTTTGTTGTCATATGTCAAACTGTAAAAATTATAGCCACAATGCATACGTGCTTAGATGCTTAGATACTAAGTATAGGGTTCAGTGCTCTCTCGTGTGAGATTCCCCTGAGGGTTCTGCAATGTATTCCCCGTGCCCAAGGTGGTCAAAAACAGCATTGTGCCTTACCTCCCTAGTGTTCTGATGACTAGAACCTGATTTTAATCCGAATTTATCAACTCATCCTTTATACATGTTTTAAAGACACTCGCCTCTACCCTCGGACCATATTATCTTCTCTACTATTTTTAATCTAAAAACTTTAAATCTTTGCCTTTTATGTTTACTCCTTACATCTATCTGGTGACTAATATCTATAGAGAAGTAGAGATGCAGCTATATTTTCTCCCATGTGGATAAATGTCCTTGTGTGATTTATGAGTAGTACTGCTCCCATTGATCTGTGATATGATCTTTGTTTGATCATGTTTCCATACATGTGAAGGTCTATATTCAGGCTCTCTGTTCTAACCCAATAGTAACTTCTGCCTTAACTTCCCTCTTATGGTCTAAGAGAGTAGCTGATGACAGTACCTCTACACATTCTGAGAAGTGATGGATATATTTATTTGTGTAATACAAGGATCAGTGTACGTCTTTTAAATTGAATATTGTTAATTCTCTTGTTCAAACATTACCTAGACTTATACATTTTAGATACTTTCTCCATCGATAACTAAAATGAGTGCGAGTCTCATGGAAAAATGGCAGATTTCTTTCCATTTCTGTCAGAGGTTCTATTTTTCTTTTGGTTTTTATATGCTGATGTTCTTTTATTAATTGCAAAGAAAATTAAAACTAACTTCTCCAGACGTAGGAATGTTGTAACTATCTCTAATCCTACTACTATAAATAAAATAGAGCAATAATAATAACTTTTACTGTGGGTTGGGCACTATCTTACTCATTCAATTTGCATTCATTAAATCTTCACACCAATTTTGCAAGATACATGCTATCAGAATTATACAATTTTATAGGCAACATATTAAGACATAAAGATTAAGTTACTTATTGAAATTCACACTGCTAGGAAATGGTAGAATTTATACTCGAATCCAAGGGACTGGACTTACAGTTCATTTTGTTTACTACACAATGTATCTCCTAGTGATATTTATCTGTATTAAAGTGAAATTTTTCTGATATTGATATACCTTCTCCACCTTTCTTTTAGTTAATTTGTCTCCTGTATACATTTTTAAGCCTTCAACTTTTTTATGCATTCTCATTCATCAGGTTTTGTTTAGGCAGCTTATAAGGTGAAAATAGTTTTTTACACCTATATATAAATGCATATATATATAATTTAAATATATTTTATATAAGTATATATATACTTTTATGCATAATTTTAAAATTGTTTTTGAAATTTACTTATTTATGTCTATGATGTTTTTAAGAAATCCAGTCTGACAGTCTGCCTAAACTCCTGCCTTGCACTTAACCTTGGATCAATCTTACAGATGATTGGGTGCTGATCACAGCATTTTCCCTCAATGCACACTTGCATACTGCTCATGATTGTCTACTGCTCAGTGTTTTTCAGTTGATGTGGAAGGACTGTCCCAGTACTATAGACAGCTCTTGCTCTCACTGTAGAAATGTGTTAAGACATAGCACAGTATGAATCTTCATACAGGTGCTAGTCATCTGTTAAAAGAGTGTTACAATCAATCCAGTGAGAAATGATGAAAATGTATTCTAGTGTAATGAAACAAAAGAAGAACTTCAGAGGTTTTTGTTAAATTGTGAGCTATTCTCTGATAGGAACCATACCGACATCATCTCTATTACCTTGCTGCTAATAAGTTATTTAAGACATGGCAGACTTGTAAGGAATATTTTATGAGTATTTTGTGAAAATATTCTACCTTCCAAATCACCTAGCCCCATAAAAGTCTAACACACTTCTTTTTCGTGGGATAGAGTAAAATTTCTAGACTTTGTCTTCAGAGAAATAAATTATGAAAGGCATTTGGAATATTGATAGAAAGTAACAGAAGCCAGAATCAGAGGGAAAAGACAATATCTGAGACAGTGTGGTGTGGCTAGTTTGCTTATTATATTGTACTGAATATCAGGTTGAGCAATTGTCTAAACAGCTCTGTATTAAATTATCGCAAGATGAGTCAGTCCTATGTTTTTCATTTTATCTTATCCAGAAATCCAGAAAGAAAAGGAAAAATAAGAATTCCAAGAGGGGTACAGTAATAGCTTTAGTCTCTAGCAGAATGTACCCATGGAATCTATCTTATGCCATCTTTCTCTGAGCCACATGGCAGTGACACATACCCATCATGCTAGAACTCTGTTTAGATCCCTAGGAAGGCTAAAACAGATAGAGGCCAAGAATTGGCCATGACGTTCACATGGCTTGCAGAGGTATAAATTCGTATGAACTTTCATAAAGTTGATAATACATATAAAAATGCTTTTCTCAGTAATTCTCTTTAAAGTAATTAGCTCTAGTGAAAAATTAAAAGATACTGAAAATGTATAAACAAAAATATCTCATTAGAATTTTTTTAGAAAAAGATGTTCAAAACACTCTAAATATCCAAATATACAGTGATTATTTAAATGTGCTACTCAATACCACCAATTAAATATATACAGGTACTTTAAAATGTTCACAGAAAAATGAAATTAAATATATTGGTTTATTTTGGTATAAAATTATTTTGAAGTCTGTACATATGATGAGTGTCCAAACATTTCATAGAAAATTCATACAAGAAAATGTTATGCATGCGTTTCAGAGGATTTGTAGGAAAATAAGTTTATCTTATAATCACATTTTCCCTAAACTTTCTTAAATACCCTCATATATTAAATATATAGTCAGCGGTTTTCAGTAACAGAGAAATGTTTACATAATAATAAATGAAAAACATAACAGAATATAAAATTATGTGTATGGTATGATCATAACTCAGGTTTTAATAGTCCTTGGAAAAATGCTGAGAAGGGAACCTGGATATTTTTATGAAGGTTAAATTATGCCATTTTATATCTTTTCTGGTTTTGTTTTCTATTTCTTCCAAAGTTATTTAAATACTCAGGACATACTGATTTAGAATTGGTGAAGACAAACTTTCAAGCAGGAATTTGCCCAGTTTCTTCCCTTCACAACCATAGCTACTTTCAAATTAGTTCACGTATATGTCACTCCTGAACTCACTAATACACCTAGCCCTGGGTTACACTTGTGACTGATGCATGTGCAATATAAACCTGGATCCACCTTCTAGGAACTTGAAGTGGAAAGAGTCAACTTGCGGCTGTGGAATAGCTAGAAAGGAAGTAATTGCCAAGCTCCTTAGGCTAGGCTTCCAAGGCAACGAAAGTCAAGAAGAGATGAATTAGAGATCTTTAGACAATTCCTGTAAGACTTTAAAACTCCTCACTAATTTAATCTTCAGTAGTAATTCAATGCTGAATCCTTAACATTCCATGGTCTGTTTGTGGCCACATGATGGCTCTTCAGACATCTGTCCATGTGTTTGTCCAGTAAAGAGCTGGTGAGGTATTGAGAAACATACAGCACAGACATCCAGCTGATTCCAGAGGAAGGCCTTTTTCCCTCATATTAATAGTGGACAACTCAGTATCTCTGCCTTTCCTTGAGAGATGTTTTGAAGCGGCAGGGAAGGTGAGCGATCATAGATTTGCGTTCAGACACACATGTACTCAATGTTACTATTTCTGTAACCATAAGAAGTTACCTGGCTTCCGATCATCCAGTTCCTTCTTTGCAAAAATGTTAGGAATGACTAAAGAAGTGTTGCTGTACTTATGAAAACTGGATCAATTAACTTATGTAAAATGACTAACAGAAGGCCTGACATACAGGAACTCTGAAAGTATGGGTTCTTTCTGTAAATAGCCTTTTCCTTCCCTGCATCCTTTGCTGCCAGATTCAGTAATGCCAAAGTTTGGTTGGCTTAGTTTGTTTCAAGGTGAAGTTTAGTGTTATTATTGGAGCATTAGAGGGAAAGACAGGAAGACTCAGAAAGAGATGAAGTTTGCTTGTTAAGTAGGTTGATCACATGCTTCTGATTTCAAATTTGAATTCTAACAAATCAGGGTCAGCAACCTGTGGCATGCATTTCTAATGTTCCCTGCTGCCTGCCCTTGTAAATCAAGTTGCAATGGTTGAGCTGAATATTCACCAAAGAGATGATTAGCCGGCAAATATTAAAATATTTACCATATAACCTTGCTAAGGATTATCAAAATATATTCTTGAAGACTTTAAATACACTTTTGATAAAAACATAACTACCCAGAAACAAATGAATGTGCTCTAATTGTTTAAAGGTTGGTACCTAATTAACGTGATTGAAATATTCTTCCCCACAGAGATGAAGATAAACATAAAGTGTGGAAGCCCAAATTTTTTATATCAAAGGGGAAAAAAGGGAAAAACAGTGCTGGAGAGTCAGAAAGGTAGGAACACAGGTGCATTTACTATAGTTTATCTGGTACAATTTATACCTTTGTCAGATCATCAAATCTCATTGTTTGGTTCTTCATCTATAAAATGATAATCTTTATCATAGTACATGTGTGATGATCAAATGAGACAATAGCACTAGATTTGCAGTATCCTGGGTTAAGATGCTTCTTGGTACACCTGCCACCCCTGGTGAACTGCCAGTTTGAGTGCCTTCTCTGCTTCCGATTCAGCTCCCTGCTAATGCACTTGGAACACCAGAAGATGGTGGCCAAGAGCTTGAGTTCCTACCTCTCATATCGGAAACCAGGATGGAATCCCTGGCTCCTGGATTTGGCCTAACCATTTCCTGGATGTTGTGATCATTTGGGGAGTGACCCACCAGACAGATCAAATCTCTCCATTTTGCCTCCCTCCCTCTCCCTGTCTCTCCATGTCACTTTGTTTTTCAAATAAGTAGGTCATTGTTTAAAAGAGAGAATGAATATGAAAGTGTTGAACACTGTACACAGTTACTTTTATGATCATTCTCCCTGCTCTTGGTAAATGGGCAATGAGGAAAGACTTCAAGATGGCCTTTATCATTCAATGGAAAACTTAGTCTTATTTTAAGTTGATTTTTTTTGTATCATAAGATGGAGCCTAAGGCACCAATTTTAACTTTAATGAAACTTTCAGAGAAACTTGTTGTCATATAGTAAGAATAATTCTGTTATGCAATATATTTTTTTGTATATTTTTTGTTTGTTTGTTTTTAAAAGATCTATTTATTTAGTGGAAAGTCAGATATACAGAGAGGAGGAGAGACAGAGAGGAAGATCTTCCGTCCGATGATTCACTCCCCAAGTGAGTGCATTGGCCGATGCTATGCTGATCCAAAGCCAGGAGCCAGAAAATTCTTCCGGATATCCCACATGGGTTTAGGGCCCCAAAGCTTTGAGCTGTCCTCGACTGCTTCCCCAGGCCACAAGCAGGGAAGTGGATGGGAAGTGGAGCTGCTGGGATTAGAACCGGCATCCATATGGGATCCCAGCATGTTCAAGGCAAGGACTTTTAGCCATTAGGCCACACCACTGGGCCCTGCAATATAAATTTGACTATAACTAGTTTCGGAGTTTACAAAACATGTTGTGTGGATTCTCACCCTTCCTGTTGTTGAAGTTCTCCGTTGGCTATTTGGGCAGGGGATGTTTTTACCAACTCAGGTGTCACATAATACTCTCTGCTTTGGTCTGCATAACTGCAAAGCTATGGCTCAGAATCTGAGGTGCTTTGTTTAGTTCGCAAATAGGGAAAACCCTCTTCTAAACAGTCACTGGTCTGTGAACACTTTGTGAATACTGCTCTTGAAATCTGCAAAGTTTCCCTCCCTCCCACGGATTCCCCCTCCCCCCAAACAGTCATAGGTCCATCTTTCTGCTGTTTAAGTGTATCCTGACATTGCAGGAATGAGCAATGCTAGAGAGGGGAGACAATTCTTTACTGCTTTTTAAAATTTCTTACAACGAATTCATAGCGTAGTATTACTTTTTAAAAAAAAGATTTATTTTTATTTGAAAAGGATATTTAGAGACAGGGGGAGAGACAGAATTTCCTCCATTAATCAGAGATGATGGTTGTTGAGAGATTGGGGAAGGATAGTCCATTTTGTATAATGACCGAAGCAGATTTATGTGTAATAAAGACACATGTCTTGGGAAACATATGTATACAGGCTAGAAGAAGAGATCAGGACAGGATTATAAAATATCATTTGTACACTGCTAGGAATTTAGCCTTTTCCTGAAGGCAGAAGGAAGATGGCAATGTTTTAAGCAAGACAGTAGCAATTTTAAGCTTTAGGAAGACGACTCTGGAGACAGGCATGGAATAGATTCAAGCAAGGAGAGCCAAGAGGAAGGTGGCATTTCCGGCAAGAAGTTGCAGTAGTCTAGAAGTATAACAGCAGCTGTAATCATGGAAAGAAAGAAACATGCAGGAGACCCTTCAGAATATAACTGTTCATGTGTCTGGGGAAGCAGTGGAAGATAGCCAAGTCTTTGGGTCCCCCTCTTGTTTCACAAAAAATGTTAATTTTGCTGATTTACAGAAGCTGCCCATTTATCTTAGATTGTTCAACCAATCTGAATAATATACATTTATAGTAATTGACACATAATAAGTGCACATTTTCACGGGGTGTGGTGTGACTTTTCAATACATGTGTACAATGTGTAATGATCAGATCAGGGTTCCTGACACCATTTACATTATTTCTTTGTGTTAGAAACATTCAAAATCCTAACAATTTGAAATGTAAATGTAATTATTGTATTTCTAATTGTTACTAGCCACTTCCCCTGCTAGGCACTAAAACATTAGAAGTTATGTATCCTACACTACTGCATCTCCTGAATCCCATGCATATTCTCTACCATTTATTCCTAAGTTATATTGCTATCAATAGTACTTTAAAATTATGGAGAAAAGTAATGGATATTTCTTGATTTGTTCAGTTGATTATGCAATATACTGTAGTGGAGATCTATGTATGTGTATGATGTATCTGTATATATATGCTTACATGAATATGCATTTAGATATAATCATAAATGCATGGTCTTATATAAAATTATATACATTTTGAAATGGAACAATTTTGTGGACTTGGAAACTTACACTTTTGCTATAGTATATTTATCCCTGCTTGCATATTTTTTTTAGTTTTTTTCCAAGAAATTTCTTCAGAATCAAGAAGCAAAATTTAGAAAAGAACAGAATAGAAAGGGAAGAAAAACTTTTTTGAGAAAAATTTGAGGTATGTTTTCTTCTAAATGTAAAAATTTGTAATGTTAGCAGCTAGGAACCTCCATGTTTAAAAAGTCTATATTATATTGCTTAGATCCTTTATGATGTTTGAATGAAAAGCTGAGAGTGTATTTTGACTTTTGCTGATGCATTTCTATACTAACACGCCAATGTGCATGTTATTTTCTCTACCTAAGAAAATGTTTTTAAGATTTAGTTTGGATATCACTAGTCTTTCCCACTTGCTCCAGTTGAAGTGACTCCCTTAGCACATTTTACGTATCTGTGATCCCTGTACTGTTTGTATCCTAAGGTAAACTATCATGTTCTCCAGCAGAGTAAGACCATATTATGACATCTTATTCTATAGTTCAGGTTCCACAGATCATCTTTTTTTTTTCATTATTTTAGAGTTCAAATGATCCTTCCTGAATTTATAATTGACAAAATGAGAATTCACTCATTTTTAAAATGCAAAAAAATTTGATGGAGTAAGCACCATGGTATAATAGACTCAGCCTCTGGTTGTGGTGCTGGTTTCCCATAAGGGTGCCAGTTTGTGTCCCAACTATACTTCCAATCCAGCTTGCTCCTGGCTTCAGGTGGGCCCACGTCCAGCCATTGCAGCCATTTAGACAGTGAACTATTGGATGCAATGCCTCTGTTTCTCTCCCCCTTCTCTGTAAAATCTATCTTTTAGAAACTTTTAAAAACAGATAAAACAATAAATTATATATAGCCATAATAAAAATATTTCTGTGAGATGTTTAAGATCTGTGCCATGGAAATATGAAAGACCTATGATGTATTCAAGAGTACCATATAGCTGGATGAGACTTCAAAAAGGGAATAATGGTATACAAAGAATCATGAACACAAAGCTAAGAAGTACAGATCTTACCTTGAAAGCAGTGAAAACTCTTTAGCGCTAGATAAATGGAATTGTGACTCAATCATATTTGTATTTGAAGACATTATGGTGGGTTCACAATAAGCTTGCCTAGGAAGGGGAAGACAACCACTTAGTAAACTGTTCCCTCTTTGGGTAAAAGAAAAATCTCTTATAGGTAAGATCCCATTTTGGAATAGTGCGATCATCCACATTTATCATTCAAATTCTGAGAGCAAAAAGAGGTACTCTTCTTATAAAATTTGTAAATAGGGACAGCAGTTATAAACACACTAGCCTGGGGATATATTTTTTTGTCATCTTAATCTGGTGAGATAAATACCTGTAATTCAAGGTACATATATTGGAATTGGTTTTGTTCTTGTCAAACAGATGGCATTCAATACATTAAACATGATGCTACCTGTGTGTGCACAGGCTGGCTAGTTTATCTCACACAGAAGCCCTGATGAGGTCAGAAATAAAATTTCTCATTTCTTTCCCCCACAAATGCCTACCTTTGAATACAAAAAGGTAAAAATGTTCCCTACAAATTCAATTTCTGCTACTTTAAAACACATATAATTTTATGTATATGTGAATGTATATATATATATATGTTCTATAGAGATGAAGAGTGGAAAGGTATGCATCTAGAAATTATAGATATGTAAGAATATTTAAGACACTACAAAGAAAAAAGAGTTTCATTTTTTTTCCTCCTTTCCTGGGTTTAGAAACGCAAGTAATATTGTAGTAGTTAATACACAATCCACCATACTGAAATTTATACTCATATTGGAGACTTCTCACCCTACAGGATCCATTCCCATAGAATTTACTGATAGATGTGAAGAAGCTATGAAAATCTAATCATACTAAACAAATGTGAGCTTGTAGAATTTTAACATTATTTTCTTAAATGGCTTCCCCATTTTCTACTTATTGAAGTTTTTCTAACTATTTAACATCTACCATTTGAGTTTAGTTTGAAGTTACTACATTACATCCTGTTAGTTTTATTGCACTGAAGATAGCATGATCCGATTAGTAATTTCTAATTTCAGTATGACAAAGAGATTATTATCATCAACAAAGCAAAAGTGTGTGCCAGTAACTCAAGAAATGGAATATTTGATTTGCCAGTAACCCGTGGGGAAGAACTGGAGGTCATAGATATTACTGAACAGAATCTATTGATATGTTGCAATTTTAAAGGAAGATGTAAGTTTATTAACTCAATGGTCATAAATTTTAAATCATTATTTAAAAAAACTTACAGCACTTTCTCTGTAATTTTAAAATTAGTAACAGTGTTTTTATTTATACAGATGGATATGTGCTCACTGAACACCTAGATTTCAAGTAAGTAGTTTTATCTTTAAATTACGGGTTCTAAATATTTATTATTACATATATTAGTCTCAAGGGAAGGCTACTTAATTTATAGAGAATTAGTCAGGCACGGCCCTATTCTATAAGAACTATAAAAAAGCGTCTATCATTGGAATACCTCTGTACCTTAACTTCTGTACAGAGTGTATTCAGCCTAGTGGATAAAGTCCTCACCTTACATGTGCTGGGATCTCATAAGGGCACCAGTTTATATCCTGGCTGCTCCATTTCCCTTCCAGCTCCCTACTTGTGGCCTGGAAAAGCAGCAGAGGATGGCACAAGGTCTTGAGACCTGGAAGAAGATACTGGCTCCTGGCTTTGGATCAGATCAGCTCCGGCCCTTATGGCCACTTGGGCAGTGAACCAGCAGATAGAGGATCTTTCTTTCTGTATCTCCTCTCTGTAAATCTGACTTTACGACTAAAATAGATAAATCTTAATATTTTTTAAATATAAAGCAACATAAAATTACTAAATTTGGTAAAAAAATTCTTCAGAATTATACTCAGTGTTCATTGGACTAAATTTCAAAATGTTTTCTTATATTTCTCCTTCTTCTCAGAAGTCCAAATTGGTCACCTTAGGAAGATCAAGATTAAATGGTTGGGGCTGTATTTGCCCTAAAATCTGTCCTGCTATACATGGGTTTTAGCTTGGGCATAAAAATGAGACACATCTGTGGAAACTCTGCTTAAGAACTTAGAAGAAAAGCATAAACAAACTCTTCATATTTTGATACAGGTTTTACAGTGTCTTTTTCAGTGTCTGTTTCATTGCCAGTTCAGAAAGTGAAACTGGGTGTGTGTTAGCAATGAAACACTTGCTGAAGGAGCCACATCCAAAGTTAGAAACCACACCTTATGGCACATCAATTGTGCGATGCTTAGCTTGTTTCTAATATTAGTACAAAAGTGTTTGGAATTTTTAGATATGCATTTAAATATGGCATATTTGAATTCTGAACAATCAATATTATAGCTAGTCTTTCAAATACTCAAACTGAAGATATAACCTTAAAATATTTATGGCAGCCTTTTTATAAATCAAGGGACAAGCACCATCTTGATTTAATCACAAAATCAGATGGATGCTACTTGCAATGTTAGGTTTGTTTGGGAACAGTTGGTTGAGAACCATGTTTTCCTATTTTCACACTACATTGTAAGAAGTGCCTAAATGTATTTAACCATCTAAGTAACACATGCATGCACTGTATCACTTCAAAACATCCTTTTGCCAAAAAATGAAAAACAAAATTGTCATTATTTTATCTATGCCTGAATATTTATTCAAATATAATTACAGTATATTTTCATGTATATCAAAATAAAAATCAGAGCTGTAAATAATGTTTCAAGTGATCCAGAATGCATACATTCTACATGTGCATTCAATATTTTTAAATTCTTAAAAAATTGAGAATTTTGACCATTCTTTAAGCAGGGTAAGTTGGCTCTTCAAGTGTGGAGTCTCATTCTTTATATTGTGACATTATTTTCTAATAGATGTGTCAAAGTACTCACCACTGAGATCTCATCACTGAGTATATATCCATAATAAGTTCATTATAGCAAAGAAATACCTACACTCTCATGTTTGCCACAACACTATTTATGATAGCCAAGATGGGGAATAAGCCCAGGTGTCATCAACAAATGAATAAATAAAAAGTCCTATATATACAAAATGGAATACTCAGCCATAAAAAAATAATACAGGCTGAACACAGTAGTGTAGCAAGCTAATCTTCCACCTGCAGCACTGGCTTCCTATATGGTTACTGGTTCATGTCCTGGCTGTTCCACTTCCGATCCAGCTCCTTGCTTATAGCCTGGGAAAGCAGCAGATGTACACATGTGGGAGAAGCATAAGAAAATCCTGGCTCCCAGCTTTGGACTGGCTTAGTTCTGGCCATTACAGTCATTTGTGGGGGGTAAACCAGGAGATGGAAGATCTTTCGCTTCCTCAGGTAGCTTTGACTTTCAAGCAGCAGTAAACAAAACTTTTTAAAAATAATGAAATCATGTTATCCACAGCAAAATGGATAGAAACAGAAGACATTTGTTTAATGAAATAAATGAGAAACAAAGACAAATGCCTCTCTCTCTCTCTGGCATATGTGAGGGCTAAACAAGTCTATTTGAATATTGAATAGTGATTACTAGAGACTCAGAAAGGGTGACTGAAACTATCGAGAGAGAGAGGCTGGGTAACCGGGACTGAAGCACAGATGGGAAGAGTCACTTCTAGTGTCCTGCATTACAACTGCATGTGTATAATTTACAGAAACACATCTGAAGAGGCAGAAGATACATTGAAAGACTCCTGCCAGAAAACAATGATAAAGAAAAGGAAGTTCTAACCACCCTGATTGGAACTGTACCTGCTCTATATATTTGAAATATCACATTGTACTCCATAAAATGTATAATTATTAAACATTAATAAAAAGTTAAGAGAAGTTTGTGCTGTTATTTAAGTAGACCTAGCTAAAAACTACTGGATTTTTGAACTGGAAGATAACAAATGTGCTTTCAAATCTGTAGTAATTTGTTAGGGCAATAATAGGAAACTAGCACGACGGCAAAAGTTAAAACCTACATTCAACAAAGACAAAACAAAGATAATGTCACATCTCCAATGAGTCATAAGCAATCTTTTTCTATATCTTGCTCTGTAACTGTTATTTGACATGCAGAATATTAGTCTAATGACTAAACAAACAAGAATAGCTTTCAAATCAACCATTGTTTTTAATTTGATTTTGTGAAAAAGTACATGATCTGACACGCTGGTTTTTCTCTTGTGTGTATATTTGTTGCCTTTGAGTTTCACACAGTGCAAACCTTAATTGAGGGAAAATCTACAACTATGAAATGCCATGTAATTCAAGAAAACATCTTCATAGGATGAATGGAAGACAAATCCTTCCCACTTATCACTTAACACTTACAAGAGATGCTTAACAAACAAAACTGAAATTTGAATCGAAAGTTCTTAAAGCAGAAATGTACTGGAACTCTATAACGTTCCCCTCTCCCCCAAAACCAATTGCTGATAGTGGTCCAAATTTCCAAAGTTTTTATACATTTTTAAATAGAAATGTAATCAAGTGCTCCAATAAGTTAATGTGTCAGCCAATGGAGTGTTAATCTTTACCAGATTGGCTGGGAATGATGCAGGATTTCTTGAGAAGACCTGAATCATTACTATCCAAACCTGTATTATTTTATTCTTACAAATGTAACTAAATGACTCAATTTTCAGTTTTATTTGTTGGCACTTTAAATCCATCATGTAATATTTAAATATACATTGCAAAGAACACAACCATTCTTCCTAAAACATCAAGATACTATCCTTAGAGTTCACAGTCCCATAACAATTTCACAATAAACGCTCAACATGGTATGATCATAGATGTTGGTGAACAGTCTTGAGAGAAAGCTGTGTTTTGATACAGTAAGGCAGCTTCAGCCAACTTTTAAGAAGTTCTGAATGTTTGTTGCAAGAACAAAACAATTTATACTTAAATATTTGTTGTTTCAAGAAATCCAAATAGTCATTTAAGAACACCATGATTTGCAAAACAGTGATCATAAACATGCTTACACCTTATGTTCTTACCTCATAAAAGTTACCCACCATTGAGAAACTCTTCCTATCGTAGTAAAAGATTCCTATTTTTACAAACACAAGGAGTTTACATTAAATATAGGGTTATATAATCCTCCATTTAGACAAGGGCCTTCTGTCAGTTTTTCCCACAGAGCTGTGAGGTAGGTTACAATCCACATGTTTTAGATGAGAAAACTAAATGAGGTGACATGACTTGCACTGCTATAGTAGTCAAATGGAGAATTAGAGTCAAATTAGATTTTGTCTGTGCTTCTGCATTCTTGCCTTCACAAACTTCCTGAAGTGTTGAAATCAAAAGACTGCTATCTGGGACAATCATTTATAAAGCATGAGCGTATAGCTAAGTTTATCAAAGTGACTAAAGTGAACCAACAGAAAGGAATAAAAAGTATATTGAATGACTAAAAAGGCAATGATAGCATGTGGATAGGCCAAAGGAACTTAAAAACAAACTGAAAGAAGCAAACGACATCACTTCTGGAAGGCAGATCTAAAAATTAGAAAGATTACAGTGTTCAGACATGATTTTGCTACTACTGTTGCTGTAATTTACAACAGAAGGCACAAATTTTTGTGCTTTTTGCTTTTGTTTCTACAAAAGGTTTCTATAGAAGGGTTTTCTTTCTATAGCAGGGCTGATCTATTTCCCTTTTGCATTTTAGGAAAATGTCGTTTATGTAGAAAAATGGCCTTTTTTTCTTGATAATAAAACTTAGCTAAAATGCAATTTTAACTAAGAAAAATGCATGCTGGAAACAGTAAAGGAAAAGTCAACCATGCGATTGTGCTTGCTGAGAATGTTTCTGTTCCTCCTTGAAATTTTAGATTAACACAAAGTAGCACACCCTGAATCTTAAAAACAACAACAAAAATACAGTATAAACCTAGTCAAAATTCTCTGTGTGTTCAAAATTTTTTCATGCTATGATATCCTACATTTCCTGGGTAGAATACTCTAACGTTTCATTAATTGCACTTTAAATTGAAATTTACCTACCCTGCTTGTCCAATCATGAGCTAATTCCATAAAATCTAAGCTTTAAGTATAAACCATAGTTACCAAAAGTCTCACACACATTCATGATTGCAAACTGGCATTGCTATGCAAGGCTGGCAACAAATGTTAACATTGGCTGGCAATACTAATACAGGCCTGAGTCTGCTAACTTCTGGGCCTGGCCTGATTTTTATCAGCTTATGGCTGAAGAAGTTCAGTTAAAACTCCATTCAGTCTAAACCGTCTGTCCTAGTTTTCATGCTATTTCCGTGCAATGACATCAAATGCAGCATAATCATAGACTGTCTAGAAATACATACCATGAAAACAGTGTTGTATCATCGAATACGCCTACATCCAGAAAGGTGACGGATCTACATGACATTTAGGTAAGCCTGATTCAGGTCGCAGACAGAGGCTGAGGGTAGTTTCCTTTTTGAAAAAAGGTTTGTGCTCAAAAAAATCCCATATAACAAAATTATAAAATCCCATCCTAAAATTTTTTCAGCATTTTTAAGCACCCTCAATACTCAGAAAGCAGTTGTAAAATAGTAAATCACAATTATAACATAATCATACCCAGCTAGTAGTATAATTGGTTTCAATAATGAAACCACAAAGTATTTCATTAATTAATATCATTTTATGTTGCTGTAGGACTTGGGAGCAATAGATTTGCATTTGTTTTTCAACTATTCCACTCTTTTGGTAATTTAAACTGTTCTTCCCTAGAAGAAAGGTGTATTCAAGGAAAAGAGACTACCACTGGATTTCTAGCATGGCTTTAAATCATACTGGTCCTTTTATTTTCTCATATAGAAAATGGTAAAGAATAATCTTTCTGGCTGCCTCATGAGGTTTCTGTAATAGTAAGTTAGCAGAGCATACAGAGGACTGCGGATCCAAAGGTATAAAATGCCTGGGACACTTCTGTCACTACATTAGTTAATACTTTGCTTTATTCCAGGATGGTATGATTTTGCATTTTGTACTTGAGGGGGCATCTGTATAAAAATATTCAAGTACACATCTTAAAAATGCCTCACCAGACTGAAATAGCTCACCGTCATTGTATAAAAACTCTAAGTATATAAAAAAGAGAATACTAACACAAATCATATAAAAAAGCAGAAAAGACAGAACTTTAAAGCTCAAAGTTACCTTAGGGATCATTTGATATTCCTCCCATTGTAGGAGTTACAAAAATGAGGCCCGCCAAAATGATGCCACTCCCCTGCTGACTGAGCATCCTCCTCCCTTGGAGTTGTATCAGAGCCTCTGAGGGAGGATTAGAACAAATTACATTTCGATTTTAAAGGTCAGAGTAAACATGAGGACCAGGTGTGGAAAGGTGAGGCTGAAAAGGTCTGAGTCTTGAAAACAAAGACAAATCTATGAGTATGTCTAGCATTTTGATACTGAGATTTCACAGTCATTAATGGGGTTTAAATTATCAACCAGTGAATAGACAAAGATCTGATGTTTGTGATGGGCTTTCACATTTTAGAAAGAGGCAACGCCTACATGAACTCCGTATGCTGCACATTAGTAAACACTATAGTCAATGCTATCATCAAGAGTCCAAAAGTCTGTAGCAGCTGTTCATGATAAATTTCTAAATTATCTTTCATTTAATCCAAACAACCAACTTACATTCCCTGCATACAAACTGTTTAGGGAATAACAGAAAGCAAATCTATTTGCAGGAAAAAAAATTAAGATAATTATGTACTATGTATAGCAAACTACCTGACATTGAAATATTATTCCTGATTAATTTAGGTTCCTGGATTCTCTTTATAGCTGGCTGGCAGTAAGGAATGCAAACACTAGGTTTGTTAATCAAAACAAAAACTCAACTTTAAATGGTTGGCTACTGCATATTTCAGACAGTGTTCTTATACTTAAAGATCTAAATACAATGAACTTACATCTAAATATAGTGTCATACAAAAGCACTCAGAAAATGACTCCACATTTTCTTTCAAGATTTATTTTATGTTTATTGGAAAGTCAGATATACAGAGAGGAGGAGAGAAAGAGGAAGATTTTCTGTCTGTTGATTCACTCTGCAAGTAGCAGCAATAGTCAGAGCTGAGCCAATCCAAAGCCAGGATCCTGGAGTCTCTTCTGGGTCTCCTACATGAGGGTACAGGGTCCCATGACTTTGGGCCATCCTCAACTGCTTTCCCACGCACCTATATGGGATCCCGGGGTGTGCAAAGGGAGGACTTTACCTGCTAAGCTACCATGTCGGGCCAGACTCCATATTTTCAAAGTAGGATTAATGATGACGATTCTATAGAGCTATCAGCATGAGTCACTCATCTTTTAAAAGAAGAAATCTTGTTTAAAGGTTTCGGTCACCCATAAGTACAAAAAAGAATGAATGCTGTACCCAAGAAATGATACAACCTTATGAAGAATGCCAAGGCTCCATGAAACAAGTTACAGACACAGAAACATTCTGTTTAGTCCAGCACTGACCCCAAGAATAACATTTCTGCACGTAAGATTGATTGACTTTGAATTAGCTTTTCCCCAAGCATGATAAGAGAAAAAGAAATGTTATCTTAATTTATGAGTGAATTACCCAAATTATAAGCTAGAATGATTTTTCCCTTAAAGTATTCTCTAAATGTCTTCTTCTCCTTTTTTAAATCATGGAATAACTTGCTTGAAATAGCCAATCTGGCCCTGGCACAGCAGCCTTGCGTGCGCTGCGATCCTTTATGGGTGCCGATTCATGTCCCTGCTGTCCACTTCCCATCCAGCTCCCTGCTTGTGCCTTGGGAAACCAGTAAAGGACGGCCCAAGGCCTTGGGACCCTGCACCCACATCGGAAACCTAGAAGCTCCTAGCTTTGGATTGCCTCAGCTCTGGCCATTGTGGCCACTTGGGGAGTGAACCAGCAGATGGAAGATCTTTCTCTCTGTCTCTCCTCTCTGTAAATCTGACTTTTAAAAAGAATATCCGGGCCCGCGCGGTGGCGCAAGTGGTTAAAGGTCCTCGCCTTGCACGCCCGGGATCCCATATGGGCGCTGGTTCTAATCCCGGCAGCCCTGCTTCCCATCCAGCTCCCTGCCTGTGGCCTGGGAAAGCAGTCAAGGACGGCCCAGAGCTTTGGGAACCTGCACCCGCGTGGGAGACCCGGAAGAGGCTCTTGGCTCCGGATTGGCATAGTATCGGCCTGTTGCGCTCACTTGGGGAGTGAATCATCGGACGGAAGATATTCCTCTCTGTCTCTCCTCTCTGTATATCCGCCTTTCCAATAAAAAAATAATATTAAAGTTGCATGGCTTTCTTTTTTATGGAAGGACTCATCAGACTTTATCCTATCCACTGTCATCTTAAGGGAGGACAGTAGCATGTAATACTTTCCAAACTTGCCCTACAAAATCTTTTTCTTCAGCAGAGAATGTACTTTGAGACATGCTATTCTAGAACCACTTGGAGTCCATTCTTACGAGATTGCTAAAGCCCTCTCCAGAGCCCAAAGGCCAGAGCTGTCCAGCACAGTCTTCTCTACAGGAAACTGTGTGCAGCCCAGACCTATCCATCATCCACAAGATGGCTATGTGCGAATTTGGGGTGAGAAACGGATTCTTTCCCTCTTTGTGCCCATGAGCAACAGAAAGCATCCTATTGTGCTGCACTGGGTCTCTGATGGTCTCCTGCTCTAGAAACCTGTCATTAGACCACCTAGATTCACAGAAATTTGTTTTCATTTACAAATGGAAAAAAATTCCTGCAACTTTTGGTTCTCCTAAAACTCAATAAACAACTACCAATCTGTACATGTTCACAAATTCTGGCAAAAGGGGGGGGGGGCAAAAATAGCAAATTGTAAACTTTCAAAACACACTTGATAATAAATGTCAAAATAAATTTTATATGAACAAGTTTGTATTTTCGGGCTTATTAGATGAACAAATCTAAAAAGCCACTGGATTATTTAGCATCCTTTCTCGGCCTTCTAAATTGTGAATTGTGCTACTGGAGATAAAGAATCAGGTTCCTTGTGTCTGTCTGATCATGCCAGCCGTAATCAGGCAAGGACTGAATGGCTCCATTTTTCTCAACAGAGGTCTGCACACATTTGAAGAAGCTAAAATGATGCCATCTGCAGGCTGTGTATCAAACCAATCAGGATTACCTATTCCCTAAAAAGACCAGGTAAAACAATCATCTGCTGCTACCACCAGATGGCGATCTTTCAAATGTTAAACTTCAGAACTAAAACCTCTCAGTCCACCCCATTTCCCAGAAGGTGAACAAGGATCCCTTTTATTTTGACACTAACAAGTTCAACTGGAAGGATTTTTTAAATAATATTGTTTAAAATATCTAAGAACAGTAGGTGATACAATGCAAACCTGGACTTCAAGATAGACATTCTTGTCTTCCAAAAGCATAGGAAAAATGTTTTCTAACATTTGGTTCTTTTGGTAGAAAATAACCTATTTTTGGCAAAGAGAAATTTGTCAAGGCAGTGTTGTTTCTTGCTTTCTTTGTTTTCAAGAGCTTCATATATTTAGGGTAAGTCAGGTGAAAGGAATTACAAATTACAACACATTAAATACAATAAATGAATAAATATAATTTAGATAAATTATACATAATTTAAAATTAAATATCTTCTAAAACAAAATATAATAAATGAGTTATTATCTATTCTGCCATATATAGTTTTCATTTTAAAAATACCTGCACAAATCAAAACACCAAAATAAAAAGGTTTGGTTATTTTTTCTTAAAAGCACTAGTATGTGGATACATATATTTACATATGTAAACAATACATATATTTATTCAAGAGAGAAGTTTTTTAACGTTTAAGGCTTCTCTGCCATATCAGGTCCAACAGTGAAGGTCATGGACTACAGGCTTTTAGAAGTACGTAAAAGCCTTGGGGTCGGAAAGGTGTTTTCAAATTGAAAGGTTAGCAACCACAAAGGTACTGAAAAAGATTTAAAAGTTGAGTCAATGGGCCACCGAGGATAAAAATAAACAAACAAACAAACAAAAAATAATGGCAGTTGTTTAGGTGGGTGAAGGAGGTGACCTTAATAAAAAAACTTAAATTCCAAATCAAAAATTTGCATGGGAAATAGAAGACATTCAACTCAGCTCCCTCGCCCTTTACTCTACCTCCTACACACAAAAGATCAAAAGTAAGACTGTCCTTTGAAGGGATCCTTGATATGTTGCTTTGTTTCGTTTAACTGTCCACTGCTGTTTTATTCTTTATCACATACAAAGACAAATGAAGCCAAAAAAGAATTTGAGAAGGGTAGGTTTAGGAGGCATATTTTAAAATCGCATGTTTATGGAAAAGACAGACATTGTTACACTTCCAGATGTTCTGTTCCAATACCAACTCGAACCCTGACTGCCCTTAGGAAAAACATACTATTCAAGGAAATCAAAAGATAAAGCCCGAAGCTTACCACTCAGTGTAAGGGATGTGGAAACTGGTTTACCTGTTACAGGACCACAGCCCTCTGGGGAGCAGCAGGCAGCACTTGCAAAAACTGTCAGACTTGGCTTCTGAAATTAGGGGCTTGGGAGAAAGGTGGCAGACTTTTAAGAATTTAGCATTTAAATCACATCTAACTAGTGGTTCTTTAATTTTTGAAGCCTTGTACAGGAAAACTTGGATTATATACACACTGCTTAAAGCCTAGTGAATTTTAGGAATCAAATGTGATTAACCTACATTAAACAGTGACGTAGGGAGGTATTTCAAACCACTCTTCTGGTGAGAGAGTTCCTCAGAGAGCTGTGTACTTCTGCGGTGAACGCACAACTGCAAAAATGATCTTCACTGATGTCCAACAATTAAAGACACTGTCAATGTGAATTTATCACAGGGAAAACATTACAATTGCAGAGATCTATAGGTAAATTAGATGTCAGACTTTTTTTCTGTAACTCGGATGAGTATTCCTGGAAATATTCATTTCTCTCAATCAGTATCGCAGATTTGTGACATCCAGAAGCAAGATAATAATTTAAAAACTACGTATGATTTTTCACAGTGCAGGAACAGAAAGATAGACACAGATCATCAACGGGCTAACGTAGTAATCAGACTGGCACACATTTCAAAAAAATCCATGGTGTGACTGCCCAGGCGAGGTGAAACTGAAGACAAAGTGCTCCCCGTCAGAGAGCCAGTGAGGGAGCCAGAAAGTGAATGACTCTCTGTGGTGGTGGAATCAAAACTTGACCTTGGCCTGTGCAAGCCAGCAGCAGAGCCGGAACGCTGCGGTGTGGAGGAACCAGACCTCTGCTCTACTACCTCATCTGAAAAGCACAAAAAGGCAACAGTTCATATGGAAGTTCTATTTGTCCACGCCCCCGTGACTGTACATTCAGAAGATTACATACACACATCGGAACAAAAGCAGCCTAGTCATAAACGTCATGTTCAGTGTTTTGGGAATGGAGGTGACATTAGCGCTTTCCTGCTAATCTATCATTGATCAATCCAAATATTTCCACTCAAAATACGCACCCTAAATCCTTCTAGATGAAGTATTTGGTATTCATACTAAAATCAAACTAATTTCCCCACATTTGAGGAAAGCACATCCTTGGCAACTTATCGTGTTCTACCATATCAGTAAACTGGCACTGTCTGAATGAAATTTTGGTTAAGTCTGAACTACTTCAACACAGTAAAGATCTACCCACCACGTCTCTGAGATGACTTGAATATCTCAAGCAATACTGAGTTTGACCTACTTCATAGTTTATGTCTGTAGACTAGCAAACCAGGAAGTAAAGACACATTATAGTACGCATCTCCACTCCCTAATAAAAGCAGGGCTTCCGGTGAAGCATTTAAATATACCTTCACAGCATGATTCCAGATTTTCTACCTTTGCCTATACTTGCAACGCCATGTTACACTTAAGTAGCACAAGTGAAACTTGTAACCGTTACTAAGGGACGATACCACTGCCATAATTTGGGGGGAGATGGCGGGAGGAGGAAACAGGGAGGGAGAAACGCCTAGATGTAAAATCTGCATCGTGCAAAATAAAAATGAATAAAAACATACACAGATACATTACCATCAATACTTTTAAAGTCCAAAAGATAGCTTCTGTTGTCAACCAGGTAAAGCTGTAAGCTCATTTTCACATAATTACCAGTCACCGGATTTTTTCTTCTTACACGAAGATGGTATGCATTCACTACCTAAACCAGGAAAACAAGAAGCAAACTGGAACTTGTCTCCTTTATTACTGCAAATGTTACAAATAGTTGAGAAGATGAGTCAGGGAAAAATTTCTGAATTACTTCTTGGCCTTTGCAGGTATTATTTCATCTCCACTAACAGGACTGGTTGTGTACAGAAATTAAAACTCAGAATGGACTCCAAAGTTTAAATGAGGTTTTGTTTTCACTCTAAATATGTATCCACACTAAAATATCAATAATAATGTTAATAGGCTAGCTGCTGGTTAAACTTTTTTTGCTAATGAACATGATCTAAAAGGAGTACAAAGGACTAACATAAAATTCCAAGTATCACAATAGTCCTATGAGGAAGATATTATTTGTCTTTTAAAAATAATAAAGCTATAACTCAAAGATAAAGATTGCAGGCTTTAAAAAACATCTATCAAATTAGCTCTTCATTAAGGAATTTTAAAGTTATTAGCATCTCTTTAGATAAAACTACTTCAGAATGGGGAGATCGGTTATTAAAAGGTGTTAAGAAAACATTATCTCATTTATTCATGTCATACACAAAGCAAAATACTTTATTTATTCAAGTCTGCCAAATAAATATTTACATGATAAGTCTGAATGTTCTTCTTCCTTTAAAATTAAAGGTTCAGAACCCGGTGTGGTAGTCTAGTGCCTAAAGTTCTTGCCTTGCCTGTGCCAGGATCCCACTTGGGCGTCAGTTTGTATTCCTGTTGCTCACTTCCCTTCCAGCTCCCTGCTTGTGGCTTGGGAAAGCCTTGGGACCCTGCACCTACATGGGAGACCTGGCCACTTGGGGAGTAAACCAGTAGATGGAAGATTTTTCTTTCTGCATTTCCTTCTCTCTATAAAATGGAGCTTCCAATAAAAATAAATCAATCCTTAAAAAAACAAAAAATAAAGGTTTGTGGTCCTAAACTGCCTTCCTCTGAATATATTCAAGAACTGAAACTCAGTTAAACACACATTTTTATACTTAAAAAATGTGGTCTAAAAGTAAGGAAATGTGCCATAACTAAGGATTTAAAAGCATCAGGCAAGTAAGAATTTCTTAACTTGGAAAACACTTCTTGTTAACTGAATATATATTTTAGTTGTCATAATCTCCCTCCACCCCACCCCACCCCACTCCCCCAAAAAGGAAAGGAAAAAGAAAAGGCTTCATGACCATGCCCCATCAAAAGTAAAAACAAACTGTTTTTGAAGGGTTTGGCTTGCACTGCTGCGCAGCTGCTCGGACAGGTGAGCTCTTCTCACAGATGAATTCAGATTAACTATTCTCTGTTTCTTGGATGAGAATACTGTATCTAAACTCAAATATGTAAGTTCCCAACATCAAAAGCACTTGACAGGGGTTTGGTTTGTGTGGAGTGTTTGGAATGAATATGGTATGTTACTGGAGAGAATAAGATCTATCAAAAAGTATCAAGACCATTAAACCTGTATTTAAATCAAAATCCTTTAATCTCAATATTCCATGACTCAGAACAGCTTATTATGTAAGAAAATGGATTCCAACTGACCTAACACACTACAGTTTCGTACCTTCCATTCGAAGTCCAGCTGCTTCATTGCTCGGTACACTTCGGCCATGATGTCATATGGTTTGCTCTGACTACGGATTCCAAGATGCCATTTGGCTTTTTTCACAGCTAAAGATTTGGGTTTCGTTGTATTTAGTGCATCCAGTGGACATTTTGCCTTGGGGCTGTCTGCTATGAGAGGTGGCATCCTTTCTGGATGAGGTTTCAGTCCTGGGGGGATATGCATGGCATTGTCATCCATAAAAGAACCGGCTGGAGGACTGGAGGCGAGGTAGAATTCACTGGCTTGGTTCATTATTCTCCGATTGTCAATGATAAGATGGTAAGCCACGGCAAGCTGGTCTTGAGGGTCCCCGCTATATAAACTGTTCATGACTTCAGACTCTGTACACTCGAACTTTTCACATACTTCTTTCACAGCCTCATCATCAATGACATTAGCGTCATAGGAGGGGTCTTCAGGAAATAAGTAAGTGGGCAAGTCTTGCTTAAACCACTCATGTTCTCTAGGGAAAAACACCATCATAAGAACATGATTTGGCAAGTTCCAAAACTGTCAAACATGAAACAGTACAACCTAATAGAACCAGAAGAGACCTGGTCTCTAATCCTAGGTCTGCCACTCACTGGCTACATGATCTTAAGCAAGTTAATTAAATCCTACCCTGTCCTAGCTTTAGGCAACTAGGCAAGTGTTACACTGCTGGGAGAAAAACAGCCAATAGATTGCAAGAATTCTGGGCCTGGTTAATGCCAAATTTCTGTTAAATATACCAGTGTGCCAGCATAGTTGCATATTCTATAATTTTCAAACATATGGGAGGAGGGCAGGAAATGCTGGGCTGGGACAGTCCATAGAGGCCTCCAGGTGGGGGACTTCAGGTTGTCCAGGGAAAGAGGTCTGGGGATGTGTTGGAGTGGGAGCAGCTGAGGGCATGTTTGGCAAGGGAAGGATGACTTCTGGCGTCTCCCATGGATCAGGCCACTGCACTCACAGGCAGGAGAGGGAGCTGAGACAAAGTGGCTTAGAAAGGGGAAACCACTCTCCCCTCACTGAGTTCCCCTCCCTTTGTTATTACTATAATGGGTAAGGGAGATCCAGGGCCTGTGGAGCTGTATCATAAAATGATAATAACCATAATAAGAAGAAGTAAAATTTAAAAAGAAAAAGCTGTAATAATAATAAGTAATAATAATAATATCATAATAATAATAATAAGTAAAATTTTAAAAGAACATGAAAAAAAAAAGAAAGAAAGAAGGGGGAAGCCAGAAGGCATATCTTGGTCAGGCCAAGGCACCTGACCACCTGGGAGACCTGGGTGGGCTAAAAAGCATCAGCTGACACCCATTGGCACATGTAAAAGCTGGAGCTAGTGGCATGCCTGGTTGGACATGGTCATAGTACCTGCCCACAAGTGTTGGGGCAGGATATGTGTCACATCAGGCTGGGCTGCAGTATCCAACACAATGCAAGAGAACCACATCAAGGGTGAAAATTCTATAGGGAAGATTCTATGGGCATGCCTCTGTGGAACTTCAGCACCCACAATTTTGTTTGTGGGGAGAACTGGGGGCAGTGCAGAGTGAGGCAGGCAGGACTGTGGAATTCACCTGACACTTGCATGAGCCAGAACTGGCAAGAACAGGGGGCAGCCTGAGATAGGTCAAGCTGCAAGACCCATAGACACATGCAAAGGCTGTGACTAAGGTCAGCATGGTGAGGTGTCTTGTGGGACTCATCAACCAGATGGCTGGACTCAAACCCTGGCTATGGCGGAAATCACACTATACGTGGTCCAATACATGTCCAATTCATGGAATACATGTGTAGGCATAGGGCCTCCTCAGTTACTGATATTTGCATAGTGGACAGAATACCCAGATGCACATAGGGGACATGACAGCGAGCTCATCTAGGTCAGCAGAGGATGTTGAGTGCCTTGTCAGAGGAAGGAAAGCAGAACAGGTTGTACCACTTTCCTGGCCAAGCTTTACAACATGTTCCTGAGGTAGATGAACTGAGGTGGACTTGCTCAGCCAACTGACCTTGAAAAGATTTTCTTAATCCTGGTGTGATGAAGCCAATGATGTCTCAGAACCATCAAAACCACTCAAGTAACACCCTTGAACCTTTTTGCCCACACTGGGGTCTCTAAGGCATCATCAAATGGCTGTGATCATCCCCAGGTGCTGAAGTAGATTGACAGCAAGGAGTGATCCCCTCCCCTTCCCCCAGCTGCAGACTCAGGAGAAAAAAAAAAAAATGAAACATTTGTCCCACTCACCTTCCTCTATTCCTCCGCCCATCCCACCCTAACTGGAGAACCACATGGGTGTGCATCCCTCTCAAATGTGTAAATAGTATTAAAAATACTATTTAAAAATGAAAACAAATAAACACACTCTACCCTGGAATAACTATTCTTGTTCAGAACTGGCTATCTGGCTGACCTTTCCTCAAAACAAAGTTACTCTATCACTTTAAGGAAAACAAGTAGCAATACTTGTTGCCAACAATAACTTTCAACATTTCAAGCAAAAATTGCTATTTTTATAGCAATTTGCATGTGTCTCCACCAATCTGACAGCTTCCTAATCATTAAATACTTTCTGACAAGGTTAATATAGACAACAATATGATTCTTGACACTACCATAGTGAAATATGTCACCATTTGGAAACTCTCCAAATTCAATAAGACACTATTTTCCAAATGATTAATGTATGGTTTAATTATATTAAGTTGAATATTCATAATTTGTTACAGAATTGTTTCTAATCTTACATAAATGGAAATTTCATGTGATTCAATCTATGACTAACTTCCCAACAAGTCCACTTTAGGAAACAAAACACATATTAAGTAATAAACTCATAGTGAATAGAGAAAAAAAATCAGGATTTATACTCAGAAAGTTGATGCCTACCTTAGCCACAATAGCATTAGTACTATTACTAAGTTGAAGGGACTTGGGAAAATCCAAAGATAGGATTTCTATCAGCACAATGTCTTATTGTTTGTTTTTGAAGATTTTATTTGAAAAGCAGAGTTAGAGAGATGCAGATGGAGAGGGCAATCTTCCATCCACTGGTTCATTTCTCAGACGACCATTGGCAAGGGCTGAACCAGGCCAGGCCAAAAAGAGCATCCGAGAACTCCATTTGGGATTCTTGTGTGGGATGAGACTCATGGACTTGGACCATCTTCCTCCATTTCCCCAGGTGCATTAGCAGGGAGCTGGACTGGCAGTGAACAGCTGGGACATGACACGGAACCTACACAGAATGCTGGCATTGCAAAAGGAGGCTTACCTTGCTGTGCTACAATGCTAGCTCCAGTATCAGTCGTTTTTATCCCTACATCCCCAACAGTTATCATAGAACATCACATAGATGCTCAATAAACTTTTCTGAGGAATGAGTAAACTAAAATTATTAAATTGAGAAGTAAACATGATGATGTATTTTCTAAAACCCAATGGATTACTTCTTGTAAAAGAAATTATCCTAGTAGGCCTATTTACCCTTTTCTTTCATAACACAGAAATATACAAACATCTGTTCTAAAGTAACAGAAGAATTATTGTTACTATTCTAAATTTATATATTATCAAGCAGGTGTAAGCATATAAGCAAGTCTAATTTTCTCTCCAAGAAAGAAACTAATTAAAGTAACTATTTATATTAAATAACTATGAACACAAAGGATTTTTTTCCTGCTAAACTCATTTACATACTGAATCTGGTGACTAATTTACGCTTTTACATTTATATGCATGAGGCCTGGAACACTGAAGGAAGACTGGGGGAAGAAAATGATACAAACACGCAGAAAGAATAGCCAGTCCTTGCTTTCAAGAGATCTGCGGCAGTCACGTGAAGTTGTCGCAGCTAACACGTCGGTATCCGGGGCTAGATGTCTCAAAAACAGACAGGCTGGCTTATGAACACAAACGGAAGGGTTTAAAAAACGGTGGGAAAAAATCATAGGTTATAGCAGAAAATCCCTAAGAAACATGCCACGCTAAGTCATAACTGGAAGGCAATGAATCATTCTGCTAAGGGTGTGCTTCGTGAAGGCCACATTCACCGCAGCACCAGCAACTGCACTTTGCAAAGCTCACTGGACAAGAAACCCTTCACTCTAAACCCACTAGCAGCTGCTGTCTTCAAAATCTTAGCAAACTTTCTCAATTTTGTTTTCACTATATGTAAAATGTATAAACCTCAAACTACTTCTGGAATTTCTTCAAATACTCTATGAATGTACACTATAGTCCTAGGTCTTAGAACATGACGCATATACAGATACAAACCATCCACCATAACCCAATAAAGTCAGAATTAGAGAAAGTATGAGGATACACTAAGAAATGCAATTTAAAAAGCAGGGATTGAATGCTGATATCACAAAAGCAGCAGCGCATCACGTTGCCTGAGGAATCAGAATTGACTTTGTTAGGGACATGGCATGTGAGCAGAACTTCAAAGGCCTGAGTGGACAAAGGCTCTAACACCAAAAATACCATCAACAGAGACAGGCATAGAGACGATGTCAGGTTTGAGAAAAAAAGACAAGTTCACTGTGGCTAATGCACAGAAATGGATGTACCAGTGAGATTATACAGTAAACATTCAACTGCCATCACTGTTACTACTACAACAGGTGCCAAAAGGATAATCAATCACCTTATGTCTTTGATCGTTGCTCGTTTCAGGGGGTCTACCTGCAGCATATGCATCAGAAGAGTGGCAACAGAGCGGTTGAGATATTCTGGGATATAAAAAACACCTCCTCGAATCTTCTTAAACAGTGTAGGAACATGCTCATCATCAAACGGGAGAGTGCCACAAAGAAGGGCATACAGGATCACACCGCAGCTCCAGATGTCCACCTCGGGACCCGCGTACAGTCTACAAAGACAAAAGGCAACATGAACCTGAACGGCAAGCATCTCTGGGTGTAGTGCGGATTCAGTACACGCTCGCACTTACTCAGAACTTGAATGAAGTCTGCAGTCTCCACAATGGCTGCTCCTACACAGAAAATAGCCAGTCTATTGGCTTGACTACCTGATAATGAGATTTTTCCAAGAGAATATGGATTTTGATGTCTCACAGTTATTTAACTGTAACTTACTAATTAATAAATGTAACTTTTTCTATGCTTGAGAGAAAGTTGACAAAACTGTATAGGAGAAAAAAAAATTGGAAAAGTTCCATAAGTAGTATCTGCAGGAATGTTGTTTTTTATTGTTATCATTATTGGAAAGTCAGATATACAGAGAGGAGGAGAGACAGAGAGGGAGATCTTCCATTTGATGATTCACTTCCCAAGTGGCCACAATAGCTGGAGCTATGCCAATCTGAAGCCAGGAACCCGTAGCCTCTTCCGGCTCTCCCATGTGGGTACAGGGTTCCAAGGCTTTGGGCCGTCCTCTACTGCTTTCCAAGGGCCACAGACAAGGAGCTGGATGGGAAGCAGGAAAGCTGGGATTGGAACCAGTGCCTATATGGAATTCCAGAGCGTGCAAGTTGAGGACTTTAGCCACTAGGCTACCACACGGGACTCTGCAGGAATGTCTTAATTCGTTAGGACTGCTACAACAAAATCCCATAAATCTGATGACTGAGTGGACCTGAATGAAATAAGACACTCCTACAATTGCCACTTGTGATAGTTATTCACACAGCTTTAACTGTAAAAATTATTCTCATCTTATTTGAAAGGCAGAAAACAAAAGACAGACTAACAGGCCAACGCATACACAGATAGTGGCTAGAGAGTTTACATCCGCTGGTTCATTCTACAACTGTCCCCAGTAGGAAGCGCAGGACCAGACCAACATTAGGAGCTCAGAACTCCACCCAGATCTCCCATGTGGCCAACAGGGACCAAGCACCTGAGGTCAGGCACACAGTGGGTTACTGAAGAGCGGGTAGAACAGCTGGGACTTGGACCAGCTCCCACAGGGAAAGCAAATGTAAGTCGGGCCCAGCACGGTGGCGCAAGTGGTTGAGGGTCCTCGCCTTGCACGCCCGGGATCCCACATGGGCACCGGTTCTAATCCCGGCAGCCCCGCTTCCCTTCCAGCTCCCTGCCTGTGGCCTGGGAAAGCAGTCAAGGACGGCCCAAAGCTTTGGGACCCTGCACCCGCGTGGGAGACCCGGAGGAGGCTCCTGGCTTCGGATTGGCATAGTATCGGCCCGTTGCGCTCACTTGGGGAGTGAATCATCGGACGGAGGATCTTCCTCTCTGTCTCTCCTCTCTGTATATCCGCCTTTCCAATGAAAAAATTAAAAAAAAAATGTTGTAAGTGGTGGCTTAACCCACTGTACCACAGTACGAGATGACCCCATTGGCTTTTTAATGAGAATCCGGTCACTGCAGCAAGACTTCACCCTACCCCTAGATGGGCAGAAACAGTTTTTAATGTACCAGTGAGCAAGCTACATAGGTAATCTCCACTTGTGCACTTCAATTTCAAAAAGCAATAATACTGTCCCCATAAAAATCATATTCTTCCAAAGTCAAAATATAAAGGAACTTCATATTCTGCACAAAACAAAACAGTATAAAAAGGCAGATGGTATTTGCTTAAGCTGAGAACCTGTTTACTCTTAACCTATGCTTTTCTAAAATGAAAGAACCATGTGAAATACTGATCCATTTCAGTCATCTTAATGGGAAAAAATCAGTAATACATCCATCACAACATCTAAAGTGAGACACTTAAGATTTTTAATATGCCACTGCCTTTCAAACAATTAAAAATAAATGAACAACTTGTTTATATCATGTTAAAAAATCTTAAAGACCAAGGTGAATATGTTACAAATCAATGTTATCAGAATGAATACAAAATTTACAAAAAAACTTCCACTTTACTGAGATGTGATTACCTGCCTGAGATGACTTCAGGTGCAGCGTAATTTGGAGATCCACAACTAGTCCGAAGAAATTCACCATCTGACATCATGTTTGACAACCCTAAAACCAAAAGGAATGTTTATCTGGTGTTAGATATTTTTAGAAGCAAATGGAGATAAATATGTGAAGAGAATACTTCAGTACAAAAATGTTCCATATAATATACTTTGGAAAAAGAAAGTATTGCTAGACTAAAAAGAGTCCCTTCTCGGAGTGCTCACCCTACCACCAAAGCAAACCCCCCAAAAAACACAAAAAATAAAACACAAAATCCTGCAACATATTACACTCCTTTTCTAAAAAAACCTCACAGTTATAATAAATCATGTTAATTTTTCAAAAACAAAATCATAATTTTACTTATACCTGTAGTTAAAACAGACTATTACTTTCCTGTACTATAGATTCAAAAGGATTTTTTATAATCTTTCCTAAGAAAGCTGATGACTCCAGATCATGTCTGTGTAGGAAGCTCAATTCAAGTCATCTATGGCAACAAAGACAGTAATACTACTACGGGAAACTAGCCTGAAGCAGAGTAGCCCGCACTCTGACGGGGGGGGGGGAACATCAAGCCTTGGCTTAAGCCAGGGTACCAAGTACTCACCACTCCCTCTAGCTATGTTTACCCAAGAAAGTATGAGGTATTAATGTAATATTCCTATCTTAATGTATCCTTGATGTAAAGTCTTATTCTTGACCTTTCCCAAAATAAATCTATTTTTTTCAATTTATTTGAAAATCAAACACAGAAAAAGAGAGAAACAGAGCTCTCATCTCAGTTCACTCTCCAAGTAACAGCACCTGTCGGACTGAGCCACGCCCAGACCAGGGGCCGCCAGCTCGGTCGTGATCCCCCACAGCAGTGGCAGGGATGCTAGTACTCAACCTACTGCCTCCCAGGACACGCATTAATAAAAGGCTGCAACTTAAATGAACAGAACAGACTAGCACGGAGACTGTAACCAATCCATTTTTATGGCACAGAATTTCCAAGGTTGAAATTAAACTACCTAGCTTACATTCGTAACCGGCACAGTGTAAAAGCAGTCAACATATCTGACAAATTCTGAGATACATACCAAAATCGGCTATCTTGGCATTCATGTGTGCATCCAACAGCACGTTCTCTGGTTTCAGGTCTCGATGGACAACCATATGCCTGTGACAGTAATCGACAGCAGACAGGATCTGCTGGAAGAGCCGCCTGGCTTCCAGCTCTTCAACCTACAAGTGGAAAGCAGCTACATTAGAAATCTCTGGAACCGCTTAGCAAGAGTTTTAGTTTCAAAATCAGTCTAATATAAATAAGCTAAATAAAATCACGTTATAAATTCACAATAAATCAGACAACCAAAGAAAAACTGGCCAAAGCGCAATGTGCCTATCAACAGTGCTTTTCTTTGCCTCCAGGCAATAATGATTATATTTCAATGAATGTTATTAAATACGTACAGTGATTCAACAGTAAAATAAAACTAAAATGCAAGTTACCATGAAAATGCTAAGTAAAGGAAATACTATGAGCTTCATCTGATTTTAGGGAACAGATTCTGAAAAGTGTAAGCATGCAGGCAATTTTAGTATTTCCTAAAAATCTATATTTCAAAATACATACTTCAAAAAATTATTTATTTGAAAGAGTCACAAAGGAGGTAGAGACAAAGGGATTGAGATTCCCCATCCACTGGCTCATCCCCCTGACGGCGTCACTGGCCATCGTTGGACCAGACTGAAACCAGGAGCCAGGAGTTGTGTCTGTGCCTCTTTTTCATCAGCCGTCTTGTACTGCTTTTGTCACATCATTTGCACAATGCTGGGTTGGAGGTGAAGCAGCCAGGACATGAATTGTCACTCATACAGGATGCCAGTGTCACTGGCAGTGGCTTTTTCGGGCCCCCAAAAGATATACTCAAAGTTCTGTGTGTTTAGCTGGGCATTATTACAAAGGCAGGGGAGACTCTGAAGATAATTTTTGTGGTTTGCTATCTTCCTTTCTCCTTTTTAGCTTAAAGGATTAATGTTTAAGTAACAAGATAGTACTACTTACTCGTCCATGCTTACAGATGTAATCAAATAATTCCCCTCCAGACACATATTCCATTACCATAAAGAAATCCGTTGGAGTGCTGATTACCTGATAGCTTTTATGGAAATGAAAGAAAGGTGAATTTGGAATACTATTTTAGTGAAAATTAACCCAGTATATCTGCTCTTGTATAATATTATGCTAGAGCTTTACAATGTTTTAAAGCAGAAGCAAATTACATAATATTACACATTAACCACAGAGTAATAACATAGAGCATCACAAGTTATCTGTTTCCACGAGTGTGTGGGCTTTTCCTCAGATGAGCTTGTTCATGTTTACATAATTTTTAAAATCCTTCATTCATCAACTGGGTTAAACATTAAGATTTCCATTTAAACAATTTGTTTTTAGTTGAAGAACATGAATTATCACATATTTAAACACAAAAATGTTCTTGGGTATGTAAAGTGTTATCACAGAAATGCAATCAACAAAATTCAGAAAGTAGATAAATGGCCCTTTTGTTCACCAGATAAAATATAAGATGGAAAAGTGGAAGCTATATGCTAAAAGTAATTAATCAGATGTACTGACCAATTATACTACACAGACATGGCTTTCTTTGACATTTCAAAATATTTTTAAATTTACAAAACTTCAAAAATAATATTACAGAGACTTTCCACTTCCCTCATGAATATTTCTTATTAGTAACAATTAATGAATCATACCCAGCTTCCCTTATCTTTTTATCAAAAATGCTTCATTCTGCTTATCCTGTAGATATTCAATATTCTGTGTTCAGGTTGAATTATTATATATTTAGCATCACATATAATGGAAAATCTATTTGTCTTTCTGTATCTGGCATCTTTCACTTAAGGTGATTTCCTCCAGTTTATTCCATTTTGTTGTAAGTGGCAGGATTTCATTCTTTTCCATAGCTAAGTGATATTCCTTTCTGTACACACCACATTTTGTGAGAGCAATTATTTGATAATGAACATACTGGTTGATTTCATGTTTTTGGCTACTCTAAACAGTACTGTAAACAGCAATGCAGACATCTCTTTCACACAATGATTTCATGTTTTTAGGGGGCACATCTAGTAGTGGGATTGCTAGATCACACAGCAGTTCAATTTCTAGTTTTCAAGGAAGCTGCCATACTGTCTTCTGCAATGGCTGCACTAACTTGCATTCCTACCAACAGCACACAAGAGCACAAGAGTTCCCCTTTCTCCACATTCTCACTGGCACTTTTTATTCCACTTTTGGGCAAAAATGATTCTAATTAAAGGGGATGTCTCATTATGGTTTGCAATTGCAATGCTGATTTCTAGAGATATTGAGCATTGTTTTTTCATATATTTGCTGGCTATCTGTCTTTTTCACAACTGTCTATTCAAACATTTTGCTTAATTATTAACTGGATTGATAACATTTTTATTGTTGAGTTTTTTGAATTACTGACATACTTCAATCATTTGTCAGATAAGAAGATTGTAAATATTTTCTCCTATTCTCTCCAATGTTTCTTCACTCTACTGATTTGATCTTTTGATGTGCGGAAGCCTTTAAGGTTGATAGAATACTACTTGTCTAATTTGCTTTTCTCACCTGTGCTTTTGGGCTCTCATCTAAGAAGTCACCACCTATACCAATGCCTGTACGTGCTTCCCATTCTAGTAATCTCATGCTTTTGGGTGCTACATTTTCATCTGTGATTTATCTTGAGTTCATTTTTGCATATATGAGAGACAGGTATCTAACTTCATTCTACAAACAGATAACCAGTTTGTCAGCATCACTTATTGAAAAGATTATTTTTTTCTTCAATGTCTGTTCTTCATACTTCTGTCAAAAATGAGTCATGTACATGGATGATTTTCTAGGCTCAATATTCTGTTCTGACCTATATGTTGGTTCTCATGCAAGTACTATGCAGTTTTAATTACTATAGCTTTGTAATGTGCTTCACAATCACGTTTTTATGATGTTTTCAGCCTCATTTATTCCCCTCTGCACTAATTTGAGATTCCACATAAATTTGGGCATCCCTTTTACTAAAGGTATAAAAAAATTCCATTGGCATTTTTTGACAGTGATTATACTGAATCTATAGATTTTTTTAGGTAATATAAGCATTTAATGATATTAAGTCTTCAAGTGCATTAGCAAGAATATATTTCAATTTTTTTGATGATGTCTCTAATCATTTTATTTGCATTGTAGAGATCTCTGATTACTATGCTTATATTTATTCACAATCATTTGATTTTACAGCTATTATGAATGCCATTTATTTTCTGATTTGTCTTTCACAGAGATCATTGCTAGTGATAAGAATATTAATCTTTTCAAATGTTGATTTTGGCCCCTAAAACTTTACTGAAATGATTTATCTACCCTCACAGCTTTTTTGTGGAATATTTACAGGGTTTTTCATGTTCAACATCATACATATCCTGACTTCCTACTTTCCAGTTTTGATGTTCTTTATTTACTTTGTCTAAATGCTTTTGCTAATGTTTCCAGTACTATATTGAATAAGAGTGCTGAGAGTGGACATCCTGTCTTGTTCCAGACTAGACAAGAAATGCTTTCAGCTTTTCCTCATTCAATATGAACAGTTCATGATTAAAACCACAGTGTTTGGAATTTACTTGGAGAGGCAGATAAAAGCATCCATTGACTCTTGTCAATTGGGCACTTTGCACACATTAGCAACATTTTTAATAAAAGATAAAACAAGTGTTCTTGTGTGAAAGAGTGTACTTGTGTGAAAGAGTGTGTGTGTGTATGTTTCTAGTGCCACAAACCTGGACATACTGAAAAATTAGAAACAACCATAATTTTATTTGACAAAACATTTTTTCCCCCAAATCTCTAACAACTTCTTTCCATTTACACAAGTTTATCAAATCAAGTTTTTACAACTTTGAAGGTGAATGAAATATAAATGTCTACTTGAAAGTTGCATCTAACATTCATATACTGGAATAACTGCTCCACTTTTGATGTCTCAGATGGTAGCTTAGCCCACTCCACCACAATGCCAGCCCAACTGCACCACTTTTTAAAATAGATTTCCTATCATCAGATTGAGTACAAGCAATATCTACTAAGTCACTATTTGGGTCCACTAGATGAAGCCATACAATTTTTCATAGTTTAAAAATGCCAAGCCAAAGGTATAATTAGTTGCTGCTATCACCCTCCAGACAATTTATCTTGCCATAGGGTGTGTCAGAAATACAACAATCTTTTGGAAACTTGTCCACCTATTTCAGTGCACAAAAGGAAAGTGATGACAGCTGGCAGGCTGGGTTACTTTCCCCTATGAAGATGGAGTAGAGGGGCATGATTTGTGATGCAGTGAGATAAGCTAATGCTTGGAATACTCAACCCCCGTGATCTGAGTGCTGCTTACAAGTCCTGACTATTGCACTTAACGACTCAGTTTTTGATATGCCTGGAAGTACTGGAGTCTCTAATAGCTCTGCAGGAAACCCAGATGAAGCTCCTCATCCTGACTTTGGCCTAGCCCCGCCCCAAGATGCTGTGAGCATCTAGAGAGTGAATCAGCAGGTGGAAGATCTGTTCATTCTCTCTCCCTAGCTCACTCGCTTGATCTTGCTCTCTGTCATATAAGCAAATAAATTTTACAGAAAAATGGAAAGGACAACACAACTGCCAAAGAGAACACGGGAATCTGGAATGCCTCTGAATGCTGTGAACCCAGAGGATAGACATCCCCCCTCTTTGGACAAGCTACACGAGATGGAAGAAGCCCGAGTCCTTCCACATAGGAACTAACGACATCAGAACAACAACTAGGAACCACGATCGGTCATCAGAATCAGAAGATCAACAAACTTCCGGCGGGACAATGGGGGAGGAATCCTCTCCAGTCCTTACCTAGTTCCAGCTCCGGGCCTCCACCCCCTATAATGACCAACAAGGTTCCTCCTAACCCCCTTGCCCCCCTTCACACACACACACACACACACACACACACACACACACACACACATACAGACACACTCATATACACACACTAATAGGAGGAGATAACCAAAGAACAATAAGGATAGGTCATCAAGGACTCACTCATGTACTATTAGATGGAACATAAAGAACAAGTACCCATTAACAAGGTATGAGAGATTTCTCTGTAACACCCCCCAAAATCGTTGCACACCTCAATTGAGGAGGTGACATTGAAATAGTTGTAGAAGGTAATCAAGAACTTACATGTAATTTTAACATATTGTCTACTTAATACTATGTCAAACATCTAATGTTTGCCGTGATTTAACCTGTAATTTATGCTTGGTTAATTGTTACTTTTTGAACCCGTCACTGATATTGTCTAAACCCAGAGGTTTTGAAGAATTGAACTTTTTTTTTTTTAACATATTGTTCACTCAATACTATACCAATTAATCCCATAACATTGTATATCGACACTGACGTTTTGTTGGGGGTTTTAACTGACCGGAACTTTACTCTGTTAGCTCTATCTTCAGACCAGAGAAGGTCTCCCCAAGAGGCCACTGGACTTATCTGGACAATAAGAAGCTGGACTTTATGCTAGGTATATGCTTGCAATGAAGGAATCTCAACTGAACTTGAACTGTGGTTATGCAGCAAGGTGGAGGAATCCACTATGGGGGAAGGGATGTGGGAGGGGTGGGGGGAATCCCCAGTGCCTATAAAACTGTATCACATAATACAATGTTAATAACAAATTAAAAAATAATAATAATAATAATAATAAAGAAAAAAAGAAAAATGGAAAGGAAAATTGGACAGGAAGTTGGTGACATCATTATCCACTATACATTTTAAGAGAGAACATACCATATATGTTAAATACTTGAAAAAATTAAAAAAAACCTTATGCCATAGTAATGAAAATGACTATAGATTTCCAAAGAACTGTTTCTAAAAGTAATCTTTAATTTTTGAAAGGAAGGCAAATGAGTCAAATGGTATTCTACTTTACATAAAATGAATGTATAGAAAAGGGTAATTTTATTTGAGAAAGCTAGAACTATTTTATAAAAGCTGCCTTAGATATAAAACTGGAGATGGAATAGTGTAGGC